GGTTTCAGAGTTGTAAAATATATTTTTTTACTTATTGTCTCTAATAAACTTTTTAAGGATTGTAGTGTTTATACTTATTTCTTATACATTCCCGATTTTTTATTATCATAGCCACTAAATAGATTCAATCCACGTCTACACAATATCCTTGCGCATTCTTTTTATTGAAATTATATTGATAAGTTCTATATATATATATATAGAACTTATCAATATTCAATTTAATAGGCTGTTTTCTAAGCTAACATTAATCTTAAGCACCAATTTATTTTTAAAATTATTGCTCAAATATGAATTTATAACTAGTCAATTTTTTTAAGGATTTTTAAAGGCTGATTTGTTGTTTTTATTTTCATCTTTTTGTAATGCTCACTCTCTTATTAACATAATAAAACGGTTGATTTAAATTGTTAATACCTCAATAAATTATACCTCTATATGCATAAGAATGCTCTAAATCTAAACTTTGGTACTATTGCTATTTTGATTTGCCCGTATTGAAATATATATAATTCGTATATGTACATTTTAGCTAAATGCAATTGTAAATTTTCTAAAATGATTTAGTAAATTCTGTTATTTATATAATTTAATATCAGCTCCACCGTCACGCCGTAGCCCGAGTAGACCTAAGTATGTAATTTTATGTAAGGAATATTCGTCAGTTACTTATTTTATATTATATTCGTTAGTCACTACATATTTGTTATTTCTATTAGTTTTGAAATGCTTATGCCTATCCTTCTTTTAGAATTAGTTAGGCACTTCTAGATATCTCCAGACAATCAATGGATTTATTTCTTTTTTTAATACATAAACTTAAAACTTAAAAATATTCATATTAGCTGTTTTTCAGCTTTAAAGAGTAGGCTCAGAAGTTACACTAATGTATATCAAAATCCCATATTTTAACATTTCGACAAAATATTTCTTTCAGAACTTTTAAATAAAAATATGATTTGTTCTTGAAATAACGTGAAAAATATAAATTAACGAATATATATCCTTCTTCAATCTTTGGACATTTTTTAATATTTTTGGGAATTTTTTTTTCTTTCAACCGTATTGTAATTCAAATTTATAGTTACAAATTTTTTTTGCCCATATAAAATCGGTGCGCGAGTAGTGAAAACTAAATGGTTGCTCGGCTACTTTTGACTACATATTCCAGTTAAAAAAAAATGAAACCATGGAAAATTCCGATCTCTCTTACTATTTGTGGAAATAAACAGTTTTTGATTTAACACCAATGTTACAAAGCTAACGGATGATAAAATGTTATCGTAAATGGGTCCCACTATTATTACGGAGGGTGGTGACCGAATACGTTAGTAGTTTCCCATAGAAACCTAATACCATGGCCCGTCGATGTGGCACGCGCCTGAGTGGAACGCCTGAGGGAAACCCAAAAGGAATGCGACAAATGTTAGTGATGTTAAACATGGGTATTTGTCGTAATCATATGATACGAATCTACTGAATGTTAATATGTGTTTCCAATTTACCATCCACAATATACTTGTAGTCTTCCATTTATTAAAGCTTGTTCAAACAGGCAAATTCATTTGACTTCATTTAAACATCGAAGTTCGCTCACACTCAAACTTATCTTAACTGAATATATACGTGACCAGAACTTAAAAGCAAATTGTAAATTATAATAACAATTATACTAAGAAATATAATAGCAATCTAGCACGGCAAGTAAACACACCGAATACGTAGTTGAGTAGTTTTTTCGTCACGCACGATAAGATTAAGTTTAAAAAGTATTCAAATTGAAAGAAAATAATTTTATAAATATTAGCGTTTCTACACTTCTAGTGTCTTTATTCTTTATTCCGAATAACATTTTTTTTAATAATTAAGGTACTAACGGTGTAATAATTAATCAGTACGGTTTTTAATACATTAAACAGGAACTAATAAAAGCACAAATTTCGCAAAAACAACTTCCGTGAAAAACGTGCTTCTACGAACACAATATAAATTGTTTTACTAAACAGCTGCGTGTCCGAATGTGTGTCCATCGCGAAAGAGAAATTATTGGTTTCGAACGACTACACGGCTGTCAAGTTCAATCGGTAGATTATCAGGGAGAGGAAGAACAGAAGCACTAGCAATGAGCATCCCGTCCGAGAAACACAAAGCAACCCTCAATTATGTTGCGGCGCTCGCGCACGCGCCTACACCCGAGGGAAACCGCACGCGTCTGCCCCCAGCAATTATACGGTGAAACTCGATTTCATCGCTATTTTTTTTATGTTCTTTTAAGATGTAAATCAATTTAAAAATATTGAGCTTCATAGCTTTAGCCGGCACATATATATATATATACATATATATATGATCAATGAATTGATCCACTTTTAGTAAAGTGGTATCTGGAATATAAACATAAAAATTTATGCAAAGTATTTTTTTTATTAGTTAAATAATTAATTATCCCAAAGTCTACAAGATTATCTGTAATTTATTCTTTTTTGATTAATGGCTGAAAACTGTTATTGACCTTTAATAAAGATACCGCTGAATGAAAAGAATAATAACTTTTGCTCACTTACACTTCGTACTAATACATTTGTTTACTTCTGAGGACGTGGCAACTTATACTTATACTGCAGGTAGATACATGAATTAAAAGCGAGTTAATATTCAAATGTCGACAAAAAATTACAATAAATCTGAAGGTTGCAACACAAATTAATCATCATTTTATTTTCTTTTATAATTGTTTAATTAAAACACATTTGATATGTGGTAATTGTAGATGTTACCCCTGTCTAGAATAAATATTTAGTACATAATAAATGTAATTACTGTAGCTCGTAGAACCGATAACCGATTTGGATCTTGCGTGGCAGTCTCGTACTGGCTGGCCATTTCATAGTAGGACGACCTCCCACTAGATGGAGTGACAACCTGTGCCAATTGTGTTATTTGCTTCTTTATATTTGCTAATTTGAAAATCATTAATACAGATTTTCAAATGAGCAGATATAAAGAAGCAAATATATAAGCAGCAAATATAATTATAAGCTACAACTACATAATACAGCTCCTTTATAATTTAGCATGTTGGCAAAACTTTCGAACTGTCTATTTATATATTGAAGTTAATAAAACAGCGGAAGTTTTTGTGACAATAATAATCTTTTTTTAGTAATCGGCTGATTTACACCGATTTTCACATATTACTTATTTCATTGGTTATGTTTCTCTAATGACAAAAAATAATTTATAAGAGAATAATGTTGAATAAGATAATACAAAAAAAAAAAACAACAATATAAAAAATAAATTACGTTTGAAAAGACTGTGGTGACTATGTAAATCGTTTCTAAAAATTAGCCTAAAATTCAAACTCGAGTGAATAAACGGATTTTATATCAAGGGAAAACAAACAGGATTTCTTACGAGTATTTGTTTTTTAAATTTGCCCTATTGCTTTTTAGCAATAATTTTGTCGTAAAGACAAAAGATTATTATTATATTATTACAAAATCAAACTATAATATGCTTCGTATACTTTTAGCTTTGTTTTGATTATATCATGTTTGGTCCGGTGCTGGACATTGCTGATCCAATAGGAGGGAAAAGAACTCTAGTACATTGATTTATGACCTCGTAAAGCTGCACACGTCGCTGCCCTCGCGTTCACTTGTATAATTTACTATACAAGCACAGCTCACAATTTATCCCTGAACAGGTTTTTCTGCTAATACTAAATGGTGAATAAGCATCATAAGCAACACAATATTTGAAATTATATAAGTCTAGGTACGTAGGATGTAAACGGTACGGAAGTTATAATTTTTTTTAATACATAATGGACGCTGGAAACTATTCGAAATGTCATAAATTTAAACTTGAACGCGATGAACTCCCTGAAATAGTTTTATGTAAAAGCGGTTTTGTAAAAATACTTCTATTTAAAAGCGCGAACGCTAAACATGATTAAATAAAATTCTTTATCTTTTTATAACTGTTGATTTGTTGCTGGTTACAGGTTACACAACTTGAGAATGTACGGGAAAGTAAAAAAAATTAAACAATAAGAAAAACAGTTTTGTTCAACGGAGGTTTTGTTTGTCTAAAACCAGATAAGTGCTTGAAGAGGATTCCAAGTTAATATTACTGTATCTTTTGATACCCTACAGTTCTGTAATATACCATAGTTGAAAAAAATATACGGATAGTAAAGAATTGAGGTCTATCCAACCTTTGTAAATTTAGCTTAGCTTATTTAGAAACATATATCACTACATAGTAGAAATCAAAATCGTCCCGCTGTCTGTCTGTCCCTATGTATGCTTAGATCTTTAAATCTACGCATCATGGGTCATGGATCTCGATGCAGTTTTTTTAACTAGATAGAGTGATTCAAGAGGAAGGTTTATATGTGTAATACATTGCGCCCGTACGAAGACGGAGCGAGTAGTACAACATAAATCCCATAATTATTTTTGTAATACAAATGAGTTAATAGAAGTCAGCTCCTGCACTTCGGCTCTAATTAATTAAAAGGCTAATAACTGCTGTTCAGATTTATAATCTTGGAAGTAATAATATTTTATAACATATTTGAAACGCAAAAATCTTTGAATAAATCGAGCCTTTTTATAAGTTCCTCAACGCACTTTTATTTTCTCTACATATAAGTTAAAAATTTTATAATTCAAGGATAAATAAAGATAATTGTCCGGTGATAAATCCGAAAGAGTCTTTTGTGACGCGTTTACGCTTCGAAATTACAAATGGCATCCGTCTGTAAAGCACTTGAGCTATGTAAAACGTTCAATATCGCACGGTGGTGCTGTGGAAATTCGCAATCGATCTATGGGAGGTGCGCGGCTCCTTCTGTATTGGCTGGTAGGCGTGCTGGCTGTTATCATGGGAGAGGCGTCAACCAATGGTCGCGAGGTTGATAAGAGGGTTGGGGTGGCGTGGCGGGGTGGCGGCAGTGCGCCTCACGGAGCGGTCGAGGGCGGCCGCCGAGCATGCTGGGTACGATGATGTACCCGGGCGATGACGCCGAAATTGGCGACATGCGCGTCCCACCGATACAACTGGAACACCTGCCAGAAGTGTTCCTCTGTAGGTTTCGCTTGCAGTAACGTGACTTTTATAAGTGATTGTGTTCAGAGTTTTATTTGTCTACGACCCTTCGTTACAACTTTAATACAAATGATTCGTACACGCGATCTGATTTGAATGATATTATGTTAAATCACAAATTTGGATTATTCGATTTTATATGATTTTACAATTGATAACGAAGCGGAAGATGGAGATGTGTTAATCTAAGCCCTGGCTCCGGTATGTTGTGCAGCCAGTATCCCGAAGTGCGGAGGCTGCCACGAGATGATCGTGGACCGGTACGTGCTAAAGGTGTCAGACCGCACGTGGCATGCTGGGTGCCTGAGATGCGTCGAGTGCCGAGCGATGCTCTCCGGAAAGTGCTTCGCGAGGAACAACCAGCTGTATTGCACAGAAGACTTCTTCAAGTAAGCCTCTTTAGTATTTTAAGCGCTGTAGATGGTATTATTTATACTTCAATGTTATAATAATTTTTTATAGTTCGGATTCTTGAAATCACAATAAGAATAATAAAATAATACATAAATCTGTAATAATTTAATAGATTTGCGGTATCCCACCGTAACAAAATCTTATATTTAACGAGAAGATTTAGTTTAGAATAAATGCAATTAATTAAATACTTGGCTTAAATTCTTAGCACTATTTTACTGTATTTGGTATTTTTAAAGTTAAAATCGCTATCAGGTCTTTCGCTCACGTTATTTTCGCTAAAATCACTATCTAATCTAAACAAAATTGTATCTTGTCCAGTCCGTCATTATACTCGTAGTTGTTAATTTATGATTATAAGTTATAAACAATTGTTCGTGCTTATGAAGCATAACGTTTGTTACAGGTTTGTGGAAAAATGTAAAAATGATTTCAGAACCGGCCATTGCATATTAACGGACAAAATTGCACTGTTATTATATGTTACCTTCCTTATTTTGACATAATATATTACGAACGTACATTACAAACGTTAATATTTAATAAAAATAGTTTATAAACATAAACTAAGTGTCATTACTGTTTCGCACTAAATTTGCGTTAATTAGTTTTTTTTTACAATTTATAATAACGCGTCTTTCGTCCTAATTCACTGGTTAGAGTTTCCATTCATCTGGGCATGCTCTAAATGATGTTAACGATTTTTCTTGGGGCAACCTATATCATTCTTCAAGTAAAGCGTTTTGTATCTCGCTAAAATTGTTGCGGGATGGCATCTGGACTTTACGTTTCTTTTTAACAAGTCCCAAATATGTTCTATTGGATTCATTTACAAGGATCTTGCTAGCATCACTATTATATTGACTCATTGATTTATGTTATTGATTAGTTATGCATGTACTGATCGAACACTGTGAGCTCGAACAGTACCCTATATTAGAATAAAGCCATCACCAATAAAGAGGAAATGGCACGTGTTCCTCTAAAATGTCCCTTATAAACCTGCCAGCAGTCATATTTCCTCCACCACTCCTAATTGAGCCGTCGCCGTAATCCACTGTATTTACAAAATTAGACGTAATAGAGCTCTCCTTTATCCGTCCATATTCGCTGCCTTTCATCAATCGATTAACGAATCGATTTAACAGAATTCTGGACTGGAGTAACAAGAGTGGAGACAGGTTCTTTTCATTGATGAAAAGAACCTGTCTCCACTCTTGTTACCAAATGTTCAATCAGTTTGTAGTATTGATTCTCAAGTTTTGGTGCTTTGGCAGATACAAAGAAATCTGTAGCAGTATACTTTAAATCTTCTGCAAACTGTATGCTCATTTGTACTTGAGAATCTTTGAACTCTGAACCTTGAACCACTTCAAGTGTATTTCGGAGCTTGCACCGCCGTAAGCAGCTTGTTCCTGCGAACTGTGATGTTGCATAAAATGTTCATCCTTCCTTGAAGTACCTCAGCTTCTGCCCTTCAGGAGGGGCCTTCTTAATAGCGAATTAGTCAATCTGTACCGTTGAATAATGTGATGAATCGTTACCGGTCGATCAAAATGAGGCAATTGATCTGTAGGATTGAATTCATTTCTTTTTAATTCGTATGCCGTATATAAAACTTCAGGTGGTATTATGTCAGGTTTTAAGTGGTTGGGCGTAGCAACAGTCTTTACTCTTGCACAAATGTACTTAGATGATTGTAAGAAAGTATTCACTTTTTAAATTAAAATTTACGAATATCTTCATCAAACCGCTTAATAAACCCATATTGGTGGAAAATTAAAACAAACGAATGAAAAACATGACAATCGCCTAATCTTTTATTTTCAAATTATATCTAAATTAAAAATATACTTTTCTACTGTTTCGCTAATTATACCGGGATGTGTAACATGTACCTACAATTATTCAGATAATTTAATGCACTAACAAATTTATACCTACTGTTATAAATACATGAACATTTGTTTCTCTTTAAACATATCGTCATCATCATCAACAAGAACATAATCTTTAAAGACTTATTGATTTACTGAATACTTCTATAACTTAAATGGGATCCTTAATTGATCCAGAAATTTAAAAAGATAAAATTATTAACTTAGGAAATTTTCTTTGTTTTTATTACTTTTCTGTCTTTATTACTTTAAAAACCGTGTTACTTTTTCGGTAAAAATCTTACTCTTACTGAAAATCAGTTTTTGTTTGCCGTTATATCAAGTGGATTTATAATTAAATAGTCGATTTACTTAGTCAAGGAACCTGAGCGCCGATAGTACTGTACCATCATGATAATGTTGAGTGTTATGAAATAGACTAGCGACCCACCCCGGTATCGCACGGGTGCAATGTATTAGGTATACATATAAACCTTGAATTACTCTAACTAGTAAAAAAACGCATCAAAATCCGTTGCGAACTTTTAAAGATCTAAGCATACATAGGGACAGACAGACAGCGGGACGACTTTTTATACTATGTAGTGATGACTATATTCACCTGATTAAAAACTAATGTCACGTTGATAATGTTGTTGTGATTGCGGCTGTTGTCCCAGGCGGTTCGGCACTAAGTGCGCGGGCTGCGGGCAGGGTATCCCGCCGACGCAGGTGGTGCGCCGCGCCCAGTCCCACGTGTACCACATGCGGTGCTTCGCGTGCGCGGCCTGTGCGAGGACGCTCAACACGGGCGACGAGTTCTACCTGATGGAAGACGGCAAGCTCGTCTGCAAGCCGGATTACGAGGCGGCCAGGGCTAAAGGTGTGGACCGCGCGATCTAGGCATTAGAGTCAGGCGTAAAAACAATCACGGACATCTACAACACCTGCAAGAGTGGCATTATAAAAGTGCGCCCCGGTTAGCTTACTAACTAGATGAAATGTAAAAGTATAATACCGGGCCGCTTCATTATACGCCACTTACTCTATAATAAAAATAATGTCATCACGATCGTAAAAATAACAAGAGTAGTTTTAATTGCATTTCAAACAATTTTAATAACCAAAGTTGCGAATATATTGCAGAATTAGTTGTCAGAAGTGTATGACATCCTAGAAGTTATGATGTCAGGTTGGACTGATCTTTCTGGTGCTGTAGCGCATCATGTCTTTATTGAATTTTATTGAAAAAATCCCCATGCATTTAGTTCTTTATTGAAATAAAAATAGTAATAAAGAAGTTCTTTGAAATAAAAATAGAAAATTGAAATAAAAATAGAATAAAGAACAGAGTTCATAGAGGTTTTCATAGAATGAAGTAATTGACACGCGTTAACACATGCTAAAGGCGGCGAGGGCTCGCTGGACGGCGACGCAGCGAGCAAACGGCCGCGCACCACCATCACCGCCAAGCAGCTGGAGACGTTGAAGAGCGCATATAGCAGCAGTCCAAAGCCAGCTCGTCACGTGCGCGAACAACTGGCACAGGACACCGGCCTCGATATGCGCGTCGTGCAAGTCTGGTTCCAGAACCGGTGAGTGCTTTCTACCGATTATTCTTTTAAAGTTTTGTTATCTTCCTGTTTTTCAACCGATTTCTAAAAGGGCCTCCTCCTTTTCAACTCGTTTTTTTGTTTTTTTACCTCAGAACTCCACCATTAGTGTACCGAATTTCAAAGTTCATTTTGAATACTCTAGCTCCTATGTAGCCCTATATAAGTTTCATTGCCAATGGACCTTGGGCTCCGGTGATACATGAGGAAGCTCCTCAAAATCAAATAGAATATGTTTTGTGAGTGATAAAAATGTCCTATTATGTCTTTACAATCAAACTTGATAAAACTAACTTTAATGTCATTACGCCCTTTGAAAACGTTTAAAAGTGAAAGAAATACTAAGTCCTGTTACTGTTTTAAACTACATTTTACTGTTACCTGTGAGTTTTTATTATCCGACTTCTGTAAAGTATAAAGTAATTATGATTTTGGTAGTCTATCCATGTATGTTTTTTATCACGTATGCTAAGCTACCGTAACTGCTAAATACTCATCGTAACGAATGAGTTGTCAGTCGACTCGTTATTAAGGTACGGATGACAAAGGCTAGTTTTTATTAGAAGTAAATCCATATGAAGGATGTTACTTATTATGATTATCCATCGCTCGTTTCGAGTATTTTATTAATCCCTAGTCTTGGAAGGTTTAGTAACTGTTATAATTCAAATAAAACATGTAATAAATATTTAAAACCCAGGCAGAATTAAAATGTAGAAAACATGTTTAATTTGTTTATAATATATTTCTTTGTATCGTACAAAGAGGTCATCGAAATTAAGTTAAAATATGACCCATTGAGAGTAAAAACGTCACCATCATTCTCAGTTGCGCCTGCACACGATATAAAGGCGATTTATTTATTTTGACAAAATCTTGGAGAAACGGTTATTAGACGCGCTTTGTACCGTATCTTTTACCATTTAAAATGAATAAACCGAGACATTCGAAAATCTGTAATCAATTTTACACACGCGTTTGCGGTAGGCATGCGAGTTAGAGCAGTTGATTTTGAAATGGTCACTGATTTAACAAGACGTAAACAGAGATTAGGATTTTATGGCCATTGTTTACCTACCTACACTTTTGAAAGCCAACGGGTTAACTGCAATAGCTGCATAAGACCTTAAATTAATAATGTATGATAATTGGACAGAAAGAAAGGATGCCAACAAACTTCTCTTTTATAAATTGATCATACTTGTCATCCTTGCTATAAAACTTTAGTTGAGACTAATAATAATGTCTGATTGGAATTAACACCGTTAAGTTCTGGGCAATCCGGTTCAAATTCAGCACTAGGCCCGAATAACATCATTTTTTTTAAAATTATATTAAGTAAATAGTAGATTGTAACTTTGGCAAGGCCACGAAGCAACCGTCTTTCGTGAAGACGAAGTTGAAGTGAAATTTCTAATTTATATCTGACAAATATTAATTGTCCATGTATGCACTCTTTTTTTATTTGACAAAAGCATTAATTTATACACATTTTAGACTAAAAGTAAAATACCAGAGATGATCAAGCAAAGAGCAAGGAATCTTTTCGCCTTTTTAATATTAGTATAAATAGCTATATCTCGCGGTATACTATTCATAGATATTATTCACATACAAATGTGTACATGTGAATAGTCGGGCGTACAATAGCAATTAATGGCCAGACGGGAATCGGTTATTGGGCGTTGTCGTAGACCTTGCCATTCAAAACCGGCGACCTTCCGTATCGGGCTTTTGTGCGGTATTTTCACATCACTACGATGTCGCTCGGGACATTTGCCAGCACAGACGCGTAACGATGTTTTGTCGCGCGCGATCACCCGCAGTCACGGCGGCCGTCACGCTCTGCACTTTGGCCTCGCCTCGTAAACCTAGGTCCGTTATCAACGCTCGATTTCAATACTTCTGTATCGAACGGTTACGTTTACAATGTATTGTTACCTTGCATATTATATATTAGCGAGATGTGTTTGCATGTTAACAAATTCTATAATAACGTAGCGACTTCTCCCCTAAACCGAATGAAAGCTTTTATATGATTTTGCTTATTTTAAACGTTTCATTATGATAATATTAAACGTTTTACTGTCCAAGCCTTAGTTTTTTACGTGAAAAGTTGGCGAGTGCGCAGGTCACCCGTGGACATGTGCAATACCTGATAGCGGGCCCACGGTCCGGCCCCGCCGGTCTTCTGTGAGATCGTAGTACTTCCCCAGACAAGCCTACCCATAGTGGATTTAAAACGGTTTAATTTAACAACATGTAGCAATTTAAATTGTTTATAGTGCTAATCTTTGCACTTAAGATTGAACATTAAAATATGTAGAAAAAGTGCGAAAAGATTGTCGCCGTTGTGGGAATCGAACCCACGTCTTCGGCATTCGCGGCCTGACGCTCTAGCCACTGAGCTAAACGGCTGATTGCCACACCGACGAAAATCTTAACGCATTCTTCCACATTGTTTTCTTAGCATTTGAAGCAATGCTTGGCGCCATCTATTGTTATATCCTTTCCAGCATACAAACAATTTCGAATATCGTTTTGCAACGATAATTCGAACGAGAGATGTCGCCATTGCTTTTTTAGAAATTTAAATTGTTTATAGTGCTAATCTTTGCACTTAAGATTGAACATTAAAATATGTAGAAAAAGTGCGAAAAGATTGTCGCCGCTGTGGGAATCGAACCCACGTCTTCGGCATTCGCGGCCTGACGCTCTAGCCACTGAGCTAAACGGCTGATGACCAGACCGACGAAAATCTTAACGCATTCCTCTACATTGTTTTCTTAGCATTTGAAGCAATGCTTGGCGCCATCTATTGTTATATCCTTTCCAGCATACAAACAATTTCGCACTTTTTCTACATTTTGTTCTTTGCACTTAGATTGCTACATGTAAAATTGAAAAAAGATTGTCGCCGCTTGGGAACGAAACGCATTCGCGGCCACGCTCTTTAAACGGCTGATGACCAGACCGACGAAAATCTTAACGCATTCCTCTACATTGTTTTCTTAGCATTTGAAGCAATGCTTGGCGCCATCTATTGTTATATCCTTTCCAGCATACAAACAATTTCGCACTTTTTCTACATATTTTAATGTTCAATCTTAAGTGCAAAGATTAGCACTATAAACAATTTAAATTTCTAAAAAAGCAATGGCGACATCTCTCGTTCGAATTATCGTTGTAAAACGATATTCGAAATTATTTATATGCTGGAAAGGATATAACAATAGATGGCGCCAAGCATTGCTTCAAATGCTAAGAAAACAATGTAGAGGAATGCGTTAAGATTTTCGTCGGTCTGGTCATCAGCCGTTTAGCTCAGTGGCTAGAGCGTCAGGCCGCGAATGCCGAAGACGTGGGTTCGATTCCCACAGCGGCGTCAATCTTTTCGCACTTTTTCTACATATTTTAATGTTCAATCTTAAGTGCAAAGATTAGCACTATAAACAATTTAAATTTCTAAAAAAGCAATGGCGACATCTCTCGTTCGAATTATCGTTGCAAAACGATATTCGAAATTGTTTGTATGCTGGAAAGGATATAACAATAGATGGCGCCAAGCATTGCTTCAAATGCTAAGAAAACAATGTGGAAGAATGCGTTAAGATTTTCGTCGGTGTGGCAATCAGCCGTTTAGCTCAGTGGCTAGAGCGTCAGGCCGCGAATGCCGAAGACGTGGGTTCGATTCCCACAACGGCGACAATCTTTTCACACTTTTTCTACATATTTTAACATGTAGCAACTTCTACTGCTAGAATACCGGCATTAATTGTATATACATATGTACATTATATATCCATAAATACATAAATGTTCAGAGTATTTTAACCGGCGTTATGTAGTCCCATATTGAGCAAAAATGTACTTCCTATGTTTCCTGCGTGTCTGATAAATATGCCCAAACATAATTCACTTTTGTAGATTAGACACTAGAACAACACAATTTTCACCACAAAACTTTTTTTTGGGTTTGAACCCAAACCCGGCGGCGCAGTTCCGGATTAAGGAAGCGCGCACCCGTAGCAAATTCTTTCAAACAGTCCTTGATTTGCATGTGTTCTTAAGTGTAAAGTGTTTAAAAAATAATTCTATACTCTTACTTACCTAATAAGTTTTACTCAAAATATTACGCTCATACAGAGATGGGTTTCAATATGCGGGGCCCTCTTTCGCGTAGGACTGTAATAATTGCTACTCCTGTTGTGGTTAATCCGGCACTGCTGTGGCGCAAGAGTCAATTCACTATCTACTAAGCCAATCTGGTATATATACCTGTGCATATTGTTTTTTTTTACGGTGATTGAGGTAAGCGGACCAGGTGTACAGAACTGCAGCGTTATGGTACACAATTGAGCTTTTGGTTTTTTATTAATAATTGGATGTACAAAGGTGAGTTTAATCCTAAGAACAGTTTTCTTCCAACAAACCCGAAAAAGTAATTAGTCACTTGGTATAGGTGTATATGTGTATTATAGATAATTTAATGATATCTAGTTTATATCAGATAATGTTTATAAAAAGTATCAGACCTTTCCTGTACAGAGGGTATCTGGGCATAGGCCACCCCGCGGCCCTACTGCGAATTGGCAGACTTCACATATCTTCAAAATATTTTTTTTTATTATTATTTCATCACGATATTTTTCTTCACCGCTGAGCACATGAAAATTTAGCACGTGGTAATGTTTGTTACTAAAGGTTATGTGACACACTTCATTTTTTCGCGGGTTTCTTACCATTCTATTTCAGCATTGGTCTTTGTTAAAATTAAAATTCATGTAAGTTTTAGTTAAAATTTAGTTGGCGAATCGCCTACTTTATGTCTTATCTTAATACGAATTTATATTTACTGGATTATTCATGTTTATTGTAAATCGGGCATTTGGAAGACATTTAAAGTTGTCAAACACAACAATTCTTAGGCCGTTGATGAAGCTACAAAATCACTCATACAATTTTATTTTAAAATATACGTCTTATTAGTAACATTTACACTTAGTTCATTAGTAATATTGATTTTTTTTCAAATGACTCGTTTTAATGGTGCAGTCTTGCTAAACAAAATAAATAATTTATTAAAACTAAATATAGTACACACTTTATTGGTGTTTTTGTGTGCTAATCTTAATGGTATTTATGAAAATTTCATGTTGCAATTAGCTGTAACTCTGTGCCAAGATTTTTATCATTGACACGGCAGTATGTAAGGAAAAAGAACATAATATACAAATAACCTGGCAAAGGTAATTTAGGACAATGCTCTAACAATCGACAGAAGCTACTGCGCGGCATGCACGCGGTCCCGACGGACTGGGCGGAGGCACTTTAATTAATCAAGCCCTTTGTTGGAAGCCCGCGCTGGCACCCCGTCGCCTCACTAATAACAGCGCACGCAAAACATTCCCGTAGGACGGGGCGTTTTGTTTGCGTTACATATTATTTACTTTAATCGAAAACAATCAGACCGTGGAAACTATTGCAAATAGTCTATTGTTGTCGTACTATTCACTGAAACGGTCGCGCCGCCTAAAAGCTCCGCAGGGCAGATTAGACATCCGCTTATACATTACTAGCTTAGTGAAACTTCACCTGAATGAATTTTGTCTATGTTCGGTCGATCGAATGGTAATCTTTCTACTTAACCTGATGTATAAAAAATATATGTAAAAAAATATAAAATGGTGGTAAACTGGTGGTTTTAAATCGTATTCCATGATTTGGACGAACTCCATTCTATCTGTTAGTACAAGCACGATGTTCTCGTTTTCCTTTTTTGCTCTTCCAAAAACTCGATTACTATCAGTTTTGTTGGGTATATGATACGGACTATCGGTATTGAAAGTTGCCTTTGATTAAATTTAAATTTGAAAAATCTGTCGATAGTACCCCATACACCTAAAAGATACAGATTCAGCTCTAAACCCTACAGATATATTTTATCCAGGCGGAGCTAGGTATATATCTTTCATAGAGCCCGTAGACAGTTTACAGTTTTTGACGATGAGTTGTTTTTGATGAGTGTCCCCTCATCTCGGTTCGAGTCCATATGATTTTTTATTTTTTCCTCTTTTTTCTTTTTTTGTGCGATAAAAAAGACCAAAGCTCGGTCATCTATCAGGTACTATATATATTATGACTGATAGGCTGGCAATAATGTCTCGCTGCATTATTTACGCCAACCTCTTTTTAAATGTTTTATTGGTACTTGATGCTCTTTTACCGAGTAGGTAAGGTGTACCAATAAAGTTATTTGATCTTAACTCCATTTTAATTTAACAATTTTTACAAAATTTTTTATCCTATTCGATTAAAACACTCTTAAATATAATCGAAAATCACTCGAGGTAAATATAATAGAATTTGTTAAGACATATATGACTGTGCCCGATATGTATCCAAAGTATTAGCCTATTTGCCGGAACCGATCTTCTATCGGTTATTCAGTAAACAAATATGACCAAAATATATTAAGACGTAAAACTAAACTCGTTACTACTTATAAGGTTCATTTTAAAAGTGTATTTATTGTACCTTTTTTCATTATCACTGAAAAAGTCATCAAAAAAGATATCTTGTCTTCTGAGGAGACACTGATATACGGGGTTTTAACCCACGAAATCCTCCTCGGTGTGGCCATCATAGCCATATTCTACTTCGCTTCTGCCACGCTTAAATCGTTCAGTGGTTGCCCAATATTTAAATTTAAAACTTGCTTTTTCTACAGTCGTGCGAAAGAGAAGCGATTGAAGAAAGACGCAGGTCGCACGCGATGGTCACAATACTTCAGGTCTATGAAGAGTTCTGGCGGTGGTTCACCTCGACACGACCGCCTACTTGATAAAGACGAGTTGAAGATTGACCTAGATTCGTTTAGCCACCATGGTACGCAATTCAAATTATAAATTGTTGGTTATTGATATGTTTGATTTTATTTATTATTGCTTTTAACCTTCCAAATTACATATTATGTAATCAATAAAATGTTCCAACAGACCAAATTATTGCAAACATTGTTTTGTAAAAACAAAAACACAAAATGTATTTAATCCGCTAAAACTGTTGTCCGCTAAAGTTGTTAATCAGTTAAGTATAATAGATAGTTTATTTAACATTTCAATTTCACCTTTTTATGTAAGAAGGTGTTTAGCGAGCTGGCGGTTCACCTGATTTTAAGCGATAACCGCCGCCCATGGACATTTGCAACACCCGTAGGGTTGCAGATGCGTTGCCACCTTGTATTAAAACCTAGTGATTGAGTGGGAGTGTGTTTTGTGTGAACAATAATTTATGGGTCAATGATTTCAAATTAATATAATGCTTCCTAAAACGTAGTTGGCTTGAACTCAAAAATAAAATATGAAGTAAGAATATTCACTCGTTTCCGCATATTTTCTTTTAGATCTGAGCAATGACAGCTACAGCACGGTGGCCTTGGGCGGGGAGGAAGGATCTCCTGCGGGCGGTGGGGCGGCTTCGGCGGGCGCACGTTTTGGCGCAACGCCGCCATATTTGCGAGCACACTCGCCCCCGCATGCTCACTACCACTACCCGCCCGACCACCTTGTGTATACTAATATAGGTAACTTCACCTTCGTTATTTCTAGCACAGTTATTGTTAATCTAACAGTTGCCCAGACAGTTATTAATTAACATGTTTATTAAAATATTGGTCTGCTTTTTTGTTATAGATAAATTATAAGTATTAATTATAACCTATGGAACCGAGACGTGATCCTTCACTGCTGGCTGTATGAGGAAGCTGAAAGCTATGAAGCGGGCTGTCTTAGTGTTTCTATGCGTTATAGAGTTCCAATGGACATATCCGCAGTAGAACAAAGATAACCGACATAGCTCAGAGGATTAGTAAGCTGAAGTGGCGTTGGGCCGGCCATATAGCTCGTAGAACCGATAGCCGATGGGGAAGAAAGGTTGATAAGTGTCAGCCTCATACTGGCCATCGCAGTGTAGGACGACACCCCACTAGATGGAATGACGGCCTGTGTAAATGTGCGGGAAATCAATAGATGCAGGTGGCTTAGGCTTTTACTTCACGGCAGTCTGTGAGGGAGGCCTATGTTCATCAGGGACACAAACAGGCCGAAATGATGATTACATAAATTATTAAATTAACATATTCAAATTGAACGTTGTGCTCGGTTGTTATTGAAATGAAAGTTTAGTATATGTATTGGTGTGTTATAATTTAGGCAATGTTTTAATTTGTATTTTGCAACCGAGCCAAAGAAATAGGTAAAGAAATGTTTCAAACAAGCATTTCGTGCAGTATAAGTTCTCAGATTTTTTTTTTAATTTTGTGACGACTAAATGCATCGTATTTATTATAAAGTTATAGAAAGACCGATTGAAGTGTTTTATGCTATGGTGTATCTGCTATTGACTATAAAATGTGAATAGGAGGAGTCCATCAAAAACGTAATGAGAGATATATTCGATCAACTTCAGGACAAGCTATGAGCGGGACGGGGATTGGTGGTGGCGCGGGGGGTGCTTCCGACATGAGCAGCTCGTCCTCGCCCGCGGCGGGTGGTTACCCAGACTTTCCGCCTTCACCGGACTCGTGGTTAGGAGAGGCTCATCACTACTCCCCGCGGGGCTTCCCCTAGCGGCGGCCGCCCCCGGCGCACGCGCTACCAGCGCATCCGCCGCCCCCCCTTCACCCCCTTCACCCCACGCTGCCCGCTCAACCACTCGAGCTGGTGGTCAAGCGTGAACTGTAATGATCAGGTCCGTAGTTTAAGTGATTGTCGTATTCATCTCGCTACTCCTTTCTGAGTGTTCGTTTAAGTGTCGCGTTCGCTTCTGTCCAGTGTGAACTACTAATGAAATACAATTCTGGCTATGAAATAAATACTTCTACGCTGATCGAATTTGCATTCTAAAATCGATGCAGAGATAAAACACGTGAAACATCTAAATCAAATTTCATTTTCGTTTTAAGTGGCTTCCATAAACCAGTAGTTTTATGTATTCATATTTTTGTGTATCATCAGTTTTATACTTTGTATTTTAGATTCATATCAGTTTCCTGAATTAAGATGTGATTTGGCACCGCTTTGCTTTTCTTGTATGCCTAAAGGCATTAGTGAGAGGGTATAAAGATAACAAACTATAACAATTTAAAATTTAATGCTAAATAAAAAAAACTCAAACATTTTATAATGAAATAAAATTCATTACACAGTAAATGACACTTGTTAAATGTTTATAATTTAACTAACTTGTAATTGGTTAAAATATAATCATACTTTTGTAATATTTAAATTTAACTAAATGAGTTTTTTCCTCATTATAAATATTTATTTACTTATCAACGAGTGGAAAATTTAACTCATAAATATGGGCAACATTTACAAAACATTGGTCTTGTACATTTTTTTAAAGAATTGTTGTTATTAAATTGAATTTATGTAACTTATACAAATGGAATTACAATAATAAGTGATAAAATGATAAGCTTTTAGCCTCAACTTTTTCAGTTAAATTTAACTGCACAGTACATCATATTTAATTCACAAATACGTTTCAGTGTAACTGAAACCGTGCCCCTTTGACATTTGGTACTAGAAATCTAGACGTGTATAAAACCAAAGGTTTATGTTAATATGAAAAATCTATATATTACTACGTATAGCGAATTTCCTTGAATGTTTTAAAAAAAGATTGTACACGGAGGATTGTGAGATTTGGCATACTTAAAGTTCATATGAAAAGGAAGTGGAAATAAGCTGAAATTAATATACACGGCGTATGTTTACATTTAAAAAAAATCTATTTTTAGGGTTCACATGTCATAACTACGCTCTGTGAAATTTGGCATATTTAATGTTAATGGTGCAGAAACCTTTTAACAAAACTTTCTTTGTTGTCATTGATACAGTCAATTTAAAACATTCTAAAAAGTAGTCTGATATTAAACCGTTGCACCTTTATCATTTGTTATGGAGTGTGGGTATACATTTGCAGAGAAGAAGAATTGTCTATCATATACTTAATATTTCTAAGTAAAGCTGCGTCGGTGCATCGTTTAGATGTCGGATAAAAGTAAGAACTGTTATAATGTGTTGGTTTGTTTGAAAGTTTATAATTATGAAGAATGACATTAATGATCAATTTACTTTGCATAAAAAGCTTTGAGAAACTCTCAAAGCTTTTTACGCAAAATTTTATTCTTATTTGCAGGTATGTAATATGAAACTTTCATTTGATCAATTTGTTGATCAAGTAACTGTTCATTGATACCGATATTCAAGTGGATTTGTGGTTTTGAATAGACTAATACTTATAAACGACTAAAGTATGGAAATAAACTGTTTCTGTATATGAGCAGTACTTAATCAATTTAAAACGTGATTAAAAATCTGTTTGTGTCACATGTTCTTATTTTCGAAAATGTATATGTGCATTTAGTTGCCCAGATGAATCATGCGACTTTAAAATAGCAAAGACTATCTTAAACTGCTTTTAGCAGTTTCTACTGTTTAAGAATTTTAAAACTTAATTTTCTCTTCTTCACTTTATTTACTTAAAAACATTGTAGCGTAAAGTATTATCGATGTTTGTCAGTCGCAACCAACAGATACATATAGGAATTTATAATTCATAATAATTAAACAATTAGTGCAATATTTCTGTACAAGGTTCTTACACTAGATGAAATATATGAAATACAAAAGATAACTTGTAGGCGCTTGTATTCACACCACGTAGGAGCGGCGCGCTATATGGAATTATAATTACCAATTAAGTTGTATATACAACCACTGTAAAGTATTTCGATGTAATATATAAGTGTTAATGGAATTAATGCCTTAATAATAAGGTTCTGTATAAATAATTTAACTATATGTGTATTGTGAATGTATTTCTGTAGATATTTCCTTAATTGTTGCGTTTAGCCATGTCATGACAGATCCGAGTAATTACTATTAAATAACATGATAAGAAACCTAGTGATCTATTTGATAAACGTCTGTGTACTTAAATTTAATCGATGTTAAATATAATTAAGTCTTTATTTAAAATAGAATTTTATTTATATTATTATATAATTAAAAGATAATATTTAATATAGATACTATCACAACGTTGTACATAATATACAAAACATTAAGCTTATTACGTAAGTTCACAAAATTATAATACTTTGTGCAAAAAATCTAGTCGAATGATAAATGGTACATAAATATTAATATGCTAAAGTATGAATTTTATTTACAAGCCCTGTTATGTGTGAATATTTACAGCTCCGTTGTTGCAACTCCCCAATATTGCTGCATACGTCCTTCGAGGTCTAACGATTCTTGTGATTGGCCTCCTTTCTCTTGTATCACAGCAAAGTCATATTCTAAGTGATACGGCATCAGCCTTTGAAGCGAGCCAAAGTATGCAGCATTTGGTCCTCCATTCGGTAACCTACCGGAACCGAATCTAAATTCTGGCTTTAGCACAGTTCCAAATGATCGAGCACTTCCAAAGTGTTTCGAAAGAAATGGAACGCTTTTAGATTGTTTCCCAGACAAATGCAGTTGTGGGCTGCTGCCCGATAAGCCTTTTAGATTCCTAAGAGTTCCCACATTAGATTTGATTCCTTTAGATAAGTTGTCTAATTCTTTATCGAAAATCATTTGTGTGTTTTGTTCCAACATATACTCCCAACATTTAAACTGCTCTTCGGATGACGGTAGTTCTTCTTTCCTTAATTCTTCATCTTTATCTTCATCGACTCTGACGCGTATTGCCCGAGCTACACCTCCGCGACACTTTCGATCAGATGCTCTATTTTGTGATCTAACACTGGCATAATGTTGCGCGCTTACAACTTCCATTGGCGGGAGATCGCTTTGGCCACTAGGAGAAGATCGATCACTACTTGGTTTGGGTGGGGAAACAGAATGGCAACACGGCTCCAATCGTGAACAACAGCAATCTGGTCTGCAAACCGATTTATTACTAGTTATTGTTTGTCGCAGTTCCCTCATTAATAAATCTACATCAGATCGATCCCCAGTATCGAAGCGCACAATTAAAATAGATAAGCAATCTTCCACTCCGTAACTTTGTGCTAAATCTTGTAAACGCTTCGCTGCAAGAACAGGATTCCTTTCAGCCCGAACTTCTGAGACAGCTGCCTCGACACTAACAGCATTCCAAAATACACCATTTCCCAAAATTAAGAATTCATCGTCCTCCTTGATGACTGTTTGGATGACATCTGGATCGGGTACTGTATTTGGATAGCGAGAAGAATAGCCCAATCGTTTGTTATTTTCAATTCCCAAACTTAAAGGACCATTACGTCTACTTAAAACGGCACGAGTATCGCCAACGTTAGCGAGTCTCATGCTATATCTTTTGGATATATGACCAAATCCATTCTCGGGTGAATTAATAGGTGATAAATGACACATAATTAAACAGGCACCTTTTTTCTGGCCTTTCTCTTTTAATTCTCTATGGGCAGATAGTACAACATATTTCATATACTCATTGATAGTTTCCTTTATTGATCTTTCTTCAAGCAGAAGTCCGGGTAAGCTTGTCTGCAATATTCTAGGTACTTCTGTATCCATTTCTCCATCAATAATGGCAAAGAGACCTTCTTTATTACAAAATGATGGTAGACGTATTTGAGCACAGCACAATTGTAACGACTTATTAGGACATTCAGAAAATCCGGTACTCCACGGTGTAACTCCACTTAACTCTTCATGATAACCACTTTTCTGTGACCAAGGAAGTGAATTTCTACCAGTAACATCAACTAAGCTTAAAGGACGCTGACATCTATATGAACTAAACTGAGAAGGATCAACTTGTAATTTTTTGTTACATGAAATATCGAGAAATTTTAATTGTTTAGGAGCTAATAACCTTAGATCTACAGAGTCAAGTTCATTGTGAGCAAAATCTAATATCTTAACGGAAGCACTGCACGCGAACATAGGAACCGAACGCAATCTATTCGAGTGCGCACGCACTACGCGGATGTTATTCAACTGTGGTAAGTTATCTGGAAGTTTTGAGAGTGAGTTTCCCGAGACTACAAGTTCTTCTATTTCAGGCCAAAAATTAAAAGAGTTATCAGGTAAACTTGTCAAACAATTATAAGCTAGGTGAAGAATTTTTAATCTCCGAAAGGCAATTATCACGTCTATGATGTTATCTGTTAGGCAGTTTGCCGTTAAATACAAGCGCTCCAGACTTTGAGAAGATCCCCTTGATCGAGGTAATCGACTTAGTCTATTGTTGGACAAATTTAAAATATACAATCTGTCACATACTGAAAAGAAATTTTCAGGTAACATCTGAATACAGTTGTCGTGTAAAAGAAGCTTCTTTAACGGTGATCTTAGCCGAGGCATTGAGGGAATATTAGAAATTTTGTTATGCGCAAGATGTAAATTACTAAGACTGGAAAGTTCACTGCAGAACAAGTGTTCTGGTAGAGAGGTCAAGTAATTATTACTCGCGTGTATCGTCGTGAGGTCAGAGCAGCAGCTGAGCCATTGTGGTAAGGATGTCAATTTGTTATGTGATACGTTTATTTCTACCAAATTAATCGGTGGCACAGTTGTTGTCAAAGTCTCCATTTCTGAAAAGAGACAATTAAAACGATTACTTAAAATTTAAATTATAAATATTAATGCACAGAATAAAACTAGAAATGTTGCTACTTCTGCTTCTGCAAAAATATACTCTTGTAAAGTTACAAAAGTATGCTTACATAATTTAAAACATTTAATATTTTTTAATAAATCAACTTACGGTTATGAGGAGCGCACAGAACCCTTAAGGACCCACCATGTAATGCGAGATGCTGAAGGGAATTATGTGACGCATAAAGCTCTCTCAGACCCCGCAGTGCCGATAATACTAAAACCTCTACTGAGTTATGTGAAATGTCTAATGTTGCCAAATGCTGAAAACAAGAGCGATAGTTAAGTTTTAGATTATTATTGGCAAACTGTTATAATCAAGTACTTGCAGTTGTTTATGTAAAATTACAAAACTGAAGTGTAAATACTTGAAATGCATAATAAAATCGGTGATTCACAACATACAGCTAATATATTACATAGCATTACTTGATATAGCATAGATTGTTACGTGCTCAGCGGTGAAGGAAATTTCTTGAAACCTGCATATTTTCGACATAATAACAAAATGTTTCGAATACGTCATGTGAATTCCGCAAATCCGCAGTGAAGCCGCGTGGTAGACTTTGCCCTATCAACCTGTACAGATAAAGCCCTTGCCCAGCAGTGAGATTTATATAGGCTGTTACTTTGCTTTACTTTAAAAGAGTTAATGGATTTTATTACTCTTATTGGAGGTGGAAGATCAATCCAGCACTTTAGTAGCGAAACAAAATCTGCCTCTAAAGGCAGCCGTATTTTACTACGGGTAAATAATTCTTGGCCCTGTCACGTAACACTGTGATGCAGTAGATAGCTGATAGCTTATTCAATAAATAAGATGGTATATTATTCATTACCCTAGTGAGAAGCTGAAGGGTACTTCAACTGGACATGTTCATTAAGTTGTGATGGTTTAGAAATGGAAATTGTAACACTTACATCATAGTTACCCAGGACTATGCTTCCTTTTAATTTGTTGTGGCGAAGATCGACCGTGGTCAGTGGCGTCCTATGCTGTGATCGATTGTCATCTTCATGACTCATTTGCCTGGAGTTATTATTCTGAAATATTTTCGACAAGAATTCTATTTTAGATAGACCTCATATATGTAACGACTACGTTTATGCTTTATTATAACTTCGCGAATAACTAAAATTTGATTTTTTTTTCTTACAACTATGCGAATACTACCCATTTTAATAAAGCTATTTTACAGATTTTTGACGATTACATGAACTTTATAAAATCGGTGCAAAAAGTGAAATATTTCACGGATTATTGTTTGTGCAAATGATTTATGGTCTCATCCAGCTTACCTCAAAGGTTGTAATCATATTGCGAGTTGCTACTAGAATACGTAGCCGCGGCAGTCGTAACACGCAATCCAAAGATTTTAGTTCGTTGTCGCTGACTTGCAACTCTTCTAATCTATAAAAGTAATAAATGATTTTACATCAACCGGGCACTGAATTTTTGGCAAAGGCGTAATGCCGGCCCATAAAGACGGTCCAACGTGTTGAGTTTGACGGTACTTAATTACTCTGGTTAATTTAGTAGTTAGTCCAAAAAAGAGGGAAGTTGAATAAAAGCAGTCTAGAAGATTGTGGAAATGGCAATTCTTGTATATATATATAATCGGAATCTCGGAAACGGCTCCAGCGATTTTCATGAAATTTAGTATGTGCGTAGATGCGAAAAATCGATCTGGCTAAGCTTCATTTTTAGAAAATGTCGTTTTATCCCAGTTTTCAGGGAATGAAAAATATCATTCGAATGCAACGGTAAATTTCACCGAAAAAAAATTTGATTATAGCTCGGTCGGTAATCGGGCGGCCCCGAAACAGAAGGCTGTGGTTCGTGTCACGATCATTTTATCACACACTTATCTTTTTACTTTTTTATTGATTCCAGATCATTGCTTTCTTTATTTTTTGTCGATCTAGATGATTTTGTAATTATTTCCCCTTTTTTTAAAAGTTCTTTCTTTTGTGATAAACACCAGTTCATATTTTCTTATTATTTCGTCGGTAAGATTGAAAAATGTTATGCATATTTCATTACTCAGTAATTTGTATTTAAATGTAATTTCCAAAATAAACGATTTACCAAAAAAACCGAGCGAAGCTCGGTCCTCCAGGTACTTTTATTTATTGGACTAAAGTGAGCAATATTTCCACATATCTATCTATATCTTCTATGTTGTAAAGAGGAAAGATTTGATTGTTTGTATGTATTGAAGAGGCTCCGAAACTACTAAACCGATTTGAAAAATTCTTTCACTGTTGGGAAGCTACATTATTCCCGGTTGATATAGGCTATATTATATTTTCAAAGAAAAAATAGGGATCCTTAGTAAAACTTAAATAATTATAAAGAGGAAAGATTTGATTGTTTGTATGTATTGAATAGGCTCCGAAACTAGTAAACCGATTTGAAAAATTCTTTCACTGTTGGGAAGCTACATTATCCCCGGTTGATATAGGCTATATTATATTTTCAAAAAAAATAGGGATCCTTACTACAACTTAAATAATGTAACCCAAAGTGTAGAAAAATTACCTAAAATATTCTTTACATCGAGTGCGCTGCGATACTAAACTATTTATGATAGAATAAAGTACGAATTTGTAGAACACATCATTATTTATAAAAAGGGTCGTGATAGCGTATGTCTAACTATTATAGTTATGCCACAATAAGTGTTCTTTTATTTTAAAATTTTGATTGAAATGCCGCCGCTAGAAAAGGCTCTTTATTTGTATCTTGGTATTAATCCTTTTAAAAATAAATTACTTAATATTTACTGAATACACTTTACGCCGGTCTTCTGTGAGGTCGTGATACTTACCCGGACGAGCCTGCCCATTCGTGCAACAGCCGAGGTTGCCGCGTGGCCCTACCACCGTTAGAGTGGAGGGAAGGCTCATAAGTGGATTAAAAGAGGCGAAAAGGGCGATGATGATGATTATATAAGAATACGCATTACTATAATGCGTATTATTTAAGACTATTGTCGCAATTTTAATTTATATTCTAGTGTAACTTATCCCGTAACAAAGGCCATATTATATTTATAACATTTTTTTATTTGAATTAATTTTAAAACGTTTTTAATTATAAAAAAACACTAAGTAAGGAACACACGACGGCGTTCATATAAGTAAATACATCATTATTTACGTTACAAATGCAGAAAACGTATATATAAAAAGCGCATTACTAGGTCAGAGTAGCTTATTGAAAAAAATATTTTTTTAAAACCACATCTCCATTCTAGTATAAGTTCTAGTTACAGTACCGTTTTATTATTTCTTAGTTCCGTAGTGGTGAATGGCAAATGTAAATATATGCCCTCCAAAATTACGCACCGTGAAAATTCGTTAAAGCCTTCTCAATACATGAGTACAATTTTCACAATTCATTCATAACTTTGAACAAATGAGAAATATTAACACACACTGAGCCATGTTTCCTCATTGAAGTTATTATGAAATGTTTTTACTTAAAATTTGTTATAACTTATTTTAAATTGTGAAATGGTGGGTCATAAACGGAATACATACCCAACTACTATCCGGAACAAGGCAAAAATATGAAAGATCGAGCTAAAGATGTAAATAAATGCTCAAATGAAGACTGTTCGCAAAATGGTTGTATATGAAATTTCAAAAAAATTGGATAAGTGAGGATTCGAAACTGTAGTGCACAATTTTCCACAAGATAAAAGTATAACAAACGATTTGTCCTACTCACGTTTGCAAGTAATAAAAACATCCATTTTAAATTATGATCGGAGGCACTGTTGACATCGCCATTGTTAAAAATAGCCCGGCGATGTTGTTCTCACACATAAGTATGGTAAAACATTAAGGTAAACTGTACGTTTGTAAACTGAGGACTGACCAAAGCGCTGGCCGCGCGTCCGCAACGCGCCACTGACCACAAGTCTTTGGCAACAAGACGCGTACTTAATACGTGCAATTAACAATATCATATTTATAAGCTTTGTGTTTGGAAACGAGTAAATGACTATCTTGTGTATTGTTTACTCAAAAAGCATAATTATATAATTAAAAATTTAAAGAGAAAACTCGGATCGTTTTGTATTATTCAGAAATTACGTAGGTATTGTATTTAAAGTAAGTAATTGAGTTTTGAACGTTGCTTGTTTCAACAATAGCCACTAGGCAGTGAGTAAAAACCTGATTAAATTTACGATACGCAGTCGCATGCCAATGCAACCTTCAATTTTTACATTATTCACAAGATATTAAATTAAACAGTTACAGATATTTTCTGTAGAGACTAGAAGGAGCTCTAGCCAGCATTGTTAAATAAGGAATTAATTGTCTAGTACCACTGTAGGTAATCCTAAAACATGGCTTTCCTAAATTAAAAAAAAATGTGTTTTATTTCAAACGTTATGTAATGGCACCAGGTACTACCAGGCATACTCATTTCGAGTATACATATAAAATAATGAATCAACCTCATTGCCTTTAAATTAGAAAATAGAGAAAAGTTATTCTAGGGAATTAAGTATAAAATAAGTAAAAAAATACGGTATAAACGTACGGTATTTAAAGTACATATAAGTAATTTTCACGTTACTCAAGAGGGGTTGCGCGAATGGCGAGGCGAAGTGAACGTAACTTTACACGGTTCGGCACACAGATGGAGATAGTGCGGTACTTGTTACACGTACGTACGTAGGCGCTCTAAAAAAAATTAGCACACAACGGAAACTAAGCGGTTCTTATCAATTCACTGTGACAGCTACACATTTGTGGGATAGAAACGATGAAGGTTCATGAGCACGAAGTGCCGCTGACGATTCGTAGCGTTTATTGAATTTGGTTACACAATTACGATAATTCTTAAGAAATGATAAGATGGTAAAAAAAGCATACGAAACGGTACGAAGGTTAGACGTAGAGATTTTCGTTTGGTCTGAACCCCTTAGACTGTCTTATCTGAAAACTGTCATATCTTTTGAGTCGCTCAAAATAATTCATAAAGAATGGCAAAGTCAGGGAAGACAGCTAAGTATAAAAATATATAAAGATGACATACTTAAATAAAAGTATTGGCAATGAGATAACAATGATCTAAATGAAAATATCCATATGTTGGTTGTTCATACCGAAAAAGTAATCACAAAAAATGAGGACTCATGCACATAAAGCCACCCACACATACACAACGGCACATGTCAATACCAAAATTTTTGTCACATACTGTATTTTAAAATATTGCGATATATCGAAAAATATAACATTGGTTGAGTAAAAACGAACATAATTGTTTCTTTTGGTATTTATCATTTCAAACATTGAACCGTGTCCGAAATAAAGAAAATTACCCAAATGGCTATAAAAATATAAACTGATATTCAACTATATAAGACATGTAAACTTTAATTAGTATGTCACTATAATTATATTTCTAACTATACTATAAAATATAAGTAAATTTAACTTAAGAAGTATGAATTTGTCGTTATACAAAAATAACGATAGAAGGCTGAGGTTTCGCAGAGAGGCACAAAGCGCCACGCTCGGTTGGCCGAGCGTTAACGGATGGAATCCATAATGGCCAGGTACGGAGATACGATGCAGATGTGTTCAAAGTGAACACTTGTTTTACGTAATCAATAAATTTGTAAGTACATAACGTAATTTTTCTTTTGCAGCCTGTGGAAAGTTGTTTCCTAGGAAGTGATTGCACGGCTATCTGTACTATATAGAAAACTGGCGGGAGATGGAAGTGTTTTGCTTCTTAGTAGTCTTTCATCTGGTGAGTGTAGTAACCGGGGCCCATTTTTTTTAAAAGGTGGCTTCGCATCTGCAACCCAAGGGATTATAGATGACCATAGACGGCAGTTATAGCTTAACATCAGGTGGACCGCCAAATCGCTTGCCCCCTTCACACTTAAAACAAAATTTATACTCAGATCTAAAATTAAAAGTTAGCAAATCTATAGCAGATCTACAGTTAGCATTTTGTTCATTCTACTAATTTGGGAATTCTTCGAAAGATAAAAAATAATGAAGATTCGTCTGATGCGGAAGAGAGGATTTTATGGGTTCTTATCCATTGAACTCGGCCCCTAAATACGTAGGAAAGGGTATCTTCTACGTAACGCATAACATATGTACTCTGAATTTGACCAGTCGTGTCACCGCTTTACAAAAATACGGAATAAAAACTCGCAAACTTTTTTAGAGCCGTGATAGCTCAGTGTCCGGGCGCTCGCCTTTAATTCAATATACTCGAGCAACCTGAGTTCGATCCCCGGTGCCGGCACCAATGAATTTTTTAACTTTAAGTACTGACTTATCACGTGCTTCGCGGTGAAGGAAAATATCGTGAGGAAATCTGCATATTTTCGAAATAATAACAAAAAAAATATATATTTCGAAGATATGTGAAGTCCGCCAATTTGCAGTGGGGCCACGTGGTGGAATATGCCCTGATACCCTCTGTATAGAGGAGGCCTTTGCCCAGCAGTGGGACGGTGGTAGCAGTGGTTTTTCAACGGTGGTAGGGCCACGCAGCAGCCTCGGCTGTTGCACGAATGGGCAGCCCCGTCCGGGTAAGTATCACGACCTCACAGAAGACCGGCGTAAAGTGGAAGTATGACAAATACTTTCGCGTTTCGTTTGGTGAGTGAGGTAGCCGGAGCCCAATTTTCAAAAGGTTGTCTACGCATCAGTAACCCTCGGGTACGGCAGATGTCCATGGGCGGCGGTATTCACTTAACATCAGGTGACCCGTCTGCTCGTTTGACAACTTTTCAAATAAAAAAAAAATCATGTATAGGCTGTTACTTTACTTTAGCTTTTTCATAAAAATCAAGTCAATCCTTTTGTATTTAAAGCATGTGATTTAACATCTTCCCATAAGGTTAAAATCAGTTGTCAGCAAAACTATATTCTAAAATCCACGAGGTCGAAATCGCGGGCATAAGGTAATTGAAGTCACGTTTTGTCAAATGATATATGCACGACCCAGTCTACTTGTGACCTTAGGTTAGGTTAGATTAAATTACTTTATCGAGCAGTTATAACTTCGTGTAATAAAAAAATATTAACAATGCTAAATTATAGTTACGGCATTGCACCAATTGGTTAACCTTATTATGCGTTCAGAAAATGAATAGGTGAAAAATGTTGATAAAGAATTCAGAAAAGTTAGCTACAAAGATGACGCATACATAGTCTCGCAGTAGTTATTTCTGTAGCAGCCACTGAACACCGTGTTGCAGGTTCGATTTCTATGCAGCACAAAATTGTACACAGTCATACCGAGCCGATAACATAAAAACAGCTCCAAATAAGTATATGTTTTTATAATCTTCAATTAACACCTGCCATCTTTTCACCATGAGAAGGGTTGACTGATAGAGATTGTCATTAGGCATTAAGTCCGGCCATTGTAGGTTATAGGAGTAGAAATGAAGCTTAAATAAATAAACAAGGAAAACATACATTTATGTACTAGTTTTGGTAACCAACCTGGAAATGGATTCAATAAAATCAAAAATAATAATTAAATGACAAGATTTTTGAGATTTATGGCGATTAGTTTTAACTGTAATTCCCGATGTTTTAAATGCTTTGCAGAATTCATGGTCATGGGACAGACTGAAGCGTTAAACGTCTAGAATGTCATTTCTAGCGCGGCTACCACTGCTAGCTTTAAAAGTATAATTTTATGTCCGATCTACACAGAAGGTTCGCGTAAATATAAGAAATTACCAAAAAACATTAGGTACATGATGATCTATACAAATCAAATAAATAATAAAATTATACTATAGTTAAATATATATATACATTATTAATCACGAAAAATGTACATATAGAAGACATTTAGCATTTTAAGGCAACTGTTAATCTTATAAAGAAATCAGTCCTTATTACCAACTTAGTACAGACCAGATTTTTAAAATAAACTCTCCGCAAGCTATAATTAGAAATGGCCACCGTCTTTAAAATAAATATTGCTTTAGCTTAAGTGATTAGCCGGCTTACTAAAAAAATAAGATGCAAAAGGCACCTACTGTGTGAGGTGGCATATTTCGGGGGGTAGCTCCGTGATCCTGTTGTCGCTGATGTCGAGGTGCGTTAGCGTTGTCAAACTGCAGGTCCGATGCGGCAGGGTGGAGAGGCCGTTGCCGCGCATACGCAGCACGCGTACCGTGAACTCGCCAGTCGCGTGCTGCGCCAAAGCGGCATCCAATGACGTTTGCCCGCCGCCACTCAAGTCTAGAATGTTCGGCGGTTGCGTGCTTTGCGTGCCCTAAAATATACGATAAAAATAATGAAGATTAAGTTACTTGGAGTTTGTGTATTAAAATTATTGTTTCACGTTTCTATTAGAAACATTTTTACAATATGTATACAAAGAAAGATCTATCGCACGACATATGCAAGCATGTAGATAGTTCAATACTATTTGAAGGTGTAATATAATCAGCCGCAATTATACATTCTTATAATTATATTATAATCCTTGTTAAAGATTAAAAGCTAGTTAATTGTTATAGTAGTTGTGATATTCTATCATTATCTACAATTAATATAACATACCCCATTATCGATCTTTTCCCTAAAAGTTGTAGGTTCTAAGCTGTCTGGGAAAATATCTGCATCATATTGCTGATTAAATACATCTAGACTATCTATATCAACATCTTCCGACTTCATCACGTTTCTTTCAACCATAATGAATATATTTTCTTTCGTTAAAACTTAAAGCTGCTGGTTCTACCATGGCGAAGTATGACATAGATTGAATGTGGTAGCTAAAAAGATCATAAGAACAAAAGACAAATGGTGTTTTAGCAATAACCAGGCGGGCTAAGCGTGATGGTAGGAGGCCATCGAACTCCCCAGAGAATTGTTATTCCCAAAGACTATGAAATAACTCCTGTCTGCGAAATCATTATTCCATGCACGAACATGTCGCTTGATAAATGACATTTAGGTGGCCTTGCTCGGATTCGTTTTGTATTTTCGTTCTGCCTATGAGGACATTGCGCTTGTAGATAATAATAACAGTAGAAAACTCTTCGTATTTTTGACGATCACTTAGTATTCACTTCGCACAGATACGATGTTCTCTGAATATCCTTTTTTTTAGTAATAAACAAGCGCACGTAAACGCGACAGCGATTTGTTCACGCCGTTATTTCGACTGACTGTATTCAGGCGGTTGGAACGTTCTGTGAGCACGCGCAGTCTGGACATCTCAACCGTAACAAAGCTTCTAGGGCGATGAGCATAAAGTTATCGGTCACTTTTTCTTCAAATATAACACAAATATTTTGCACTAGTTCTAACCTTGAAGCGTACTTATTTACAAAAAAAATGTTTTCCATTATAATGCATATTATTGCTTATTAGATATTGTTAATCAGCCTATGATATAAATGAACTCTAAATAACTTCAGCCTTTTTAAATTCAAACCACATTTCTATGGAATCACTTTATCTCTTATACTGAATGTGTATATTATTCTTTATCTTTTAATCTATTGATTATTAATTTGATTTATCATTTAATTTTATATTACCCATACCATGTAATATTTAAACGATTAGCAATGATTATTCTGATTGTGATTAAATTGGTATGTTAAACTGAATAAATTTTAAGTAGCCTTAATAATTAAAAAAATCAAAACAATTACCTTCCATATAATTCAAAGAGAAATATAAACTTTCAGCGATAAAATCTTACAACCCTGAATTTAAATTACAACATTATCATATTATCTTAAATTTGATTTCGCAAGCAAATTTCTAACAATTTTCTCCATTTACGATAAGGTTCGTTAATTCAGGAAGTGTACCGGATTGATTTGCTGATCATCAGTTTAGACAGCCTAATTTCAAGATCAGCATGAAAAAATGCAGTTTACACAGAACATAGTATTAGATGTACTATTTTTATTTTAACATGGCAAACCTTCATTTTAATGGAAGCAAATCTGTATATTTGTAGTTGTGTGTATCAAGCATTTGACTCTATTCTAATACATTTTATTACATTAGATTCATGTTGAAAATACCTAAAGGTGCTTGAAAACTGCCATTGAATTGATCAAAATTTACATTTAAGCAACAATATTACTTTGACCTACCTCTTTCAACCAGCAGAACCACATATTTCGTTCCCAAACTGTATTGAAGCCAAGAAACAGGTGATTCACGCCAGCGTCCAGCAAACTGTTACCTTGACAACGCGGTTTGAGACAAAGTACCAATTTTTGAGCTTTGGGTTGACAAAACTCGACAGTTCCACCGCTTATTTCTAGAACATCCCACGTTACACCTACAACAAGTGATCTCGTATAAAAAATATTGACACAGAAGAAAGCAAAGCACGGTTAGATTTGAATATAAAATATCATAGTTTACCAAAGGTGTGCAGTGCAGAACCAAGTATGTATGCTTGCCTGGACTTCCACTGTGGAAAGACATGGCCTTTAAGTACGTGAATCGTTCCCGATTGTAGCACGCCACCCGATGCCGCAGCGGGTCCACAACACCACCGCAGTGTATGTCGTAATTCCGGATCGACCGCCAACCGTAATCTGCGCGCTTCAGAAGTCCAGCCATTTTTCATCAGAAAGTCCTCTTGTATTTGTAAAGGGCGTTCATTGGGTTCCAATCGCCGAGAATTTTCGCCGCCCGTTTGGAGCCACAGCGTCAAGTCCTCGCTAAAGGCGAGCTTTTGGTTCACTTCTTCCGCGGTGGTTCGGACGGATATCTTGATCAGCTTGCTCCCGGCGTCGAGGGCGAACGGCTCGAGGCCGTCGTGGACGCGTATCCAGCCGTGCTCGGTGCCGGGCCGTGGTCTGAATCCCCGCGTGGACGCGAGACGGCGCAGCGACTTGCGGCGGACGTGGGGCGATGGGGCGTGCAAGGCATCGTCGCAGACCATGACGCGACGGCAGGTGGACGCGGGGCGCGGTGGCCGACGCCTCAATGCCCGCGCGCCGGACTCGGCCGTTGCATTACAATTGGGTCGGCCGTAGTGGGGGTGGGAAACACGTCGCTCGGTCACTCGGGAACACGACAGAATGCGAATATAGGGAATGTTTACCGAGTATTGCGTCATTTGACGAAATTTGCATAGTTTATAAGCCGAAATGTATTCAACTGCGAATAATAAATGTTAATAAATAATAAATATTATTTTAGGACACATTTTTACACAAGAATTTCTAGTCCCATACTTAGTAACGCTTGTGCTATGGGTACTAGATGAGTGACAAATATACTTAAAGATATCTTTCTTTTTGTAAATAAATAGAAATTAGACATATATAAACACCCAGAGACTGGAAAAATCACTATGTTCATCACACAATATTTTTCCAGTAGTTGGGATCGAACCCACACTCTCTGGCACAAGAGGCAGGTTCACTACCCACTACGCCAATCGGGTCATCATAAAGTATTGATAACATTATTTTTTAAATCCTTCAATTAGTTTTAGAATAGTAAATTTTAGATAGTACAATAGGTTGTTGGCGTAAAAGTTCCACTACAGTGATCACCCCTCTTCATGAGTCACCTGTTTCGACCGAAACCTACGAACAAGTCCTACGTTCAATGGCTAGATAACACAACAACTTCGCTTTCTATTAACACCCGACGAATCCTTTTATAATTTTCAATTATATTGCGTGAATATCAATATATTTTAAAAGTGAAATAAAACCACGAAATTGTAATCCATATAATATATTATTAGCATCAACTACCTTATACTCTACTAAATTAGGTACACAGCATAAAAACGTTATTTTGAGATTATTTACTAATCTCCTAATTTGTTAATTCTTAACGTTAATTCCACGGGTAATTCTTGTGTATCCGTTTAGAGCCACATAAACACGTAGCGTTGCATGTGCCTTGTCTGCAGACGTCTGTTACCTTCACAAGAGAGTCACAATTGGAGAAGTAATCCTTCCTTGGACATGTATTAGTGCAAATTGAGCCTTGTGCACAGTTTCCTGGACAATCTCCGCATTGAGGACCCGCTTTGTATGGGTAATGTGTTATAGTTACGTAGTTCCCGCTAAAATATAAATAAATGCTTAGAAGTGATCTTCATAATAGAATTTCTACGAGTGTATAGGTGAAAAAAGATCAAGACATTTGTACCTCTTGATCTTTTTTCGGCTTTACCCATTCCACGGGTAAAGCAAAACAAGTAGCAGGCTATATCTGTCCTATTGCTGGGCAAAGGCCCTTTCTGTTCAGAGAGTATATTTAAGGGTATAGTCCACCACGCGACCCCGCTGCGGATTGACGGACTTCACATACCTGTGAAATATTTTTTGTTATTATTTCTAAAATATGCTCACGGTATTTTCCTTCACCACTGAGCACGTGATAAGTCAGCACTTAAAATTAACAATTTCATTGATCCGGGGATCGAACTCAGGTTGCTCAGGTATATTGAATTAAAAGCGACCACCCGGACAATGAGCTATCACGGCTGCATTCTATTCCCGGAATAAAGACAGAGAATTGGAAGTTATCCTTTGAATAATATTATTTATAATTCAATTCATTTATATGCTTAGAGCGTCCTTTTTAACTCACTGTGATGGATTTTTTTATTTAACCTAAGAGCGACGTAAAGCTTCACTAAACTGAATACGTAATTGTACGTAATATTTACAAGGCAAATACATTTTTTTAAAACTGATCAAAGTTTTTAGTTTTTCTTAAGAATTTCTTGCTAGTGTTGTTTTCGCAATAAACATAAAATAATTGTTTTATTTTTAATATGGAATCAAGATTTATTTTAATTTAAGGACATCTTATTCATTAACGACTCTGCGGTTTCAATATACGTTAAGTATGTATTCGCCGCGCGTCAGTCTTCTGCCAGGGACTGCCTATAACTTACAGATATCTAACGTTACTGTTTTAAAACCGTTTTAAGGTTTCTGTTAAAGACGTTAACCTTATGTGAGATAACATTATCCTGTGTTGCTTAGGTTCTTTAAAAGCATAAATTAAACAGGCTACCAGCCAGATTCATCAGACATTTGTCACGGGTGAAACCCAATGACCCAATATAAGTTATTGAAATCTTTTTATTCGTTCATAAAAATAGCGCATTAAAACATACAATGAATTCCATAAAAATATTAACTTATTTAACATGTATAAAAACATTAATTTTAATACCTTTCCTAGCTGACCCTGCAAACGTTGCTTTGCCATATAAATTATTTGTAAGGGTAGAAAAAATGTTTGGGGTGGACCACCCTTTACATTTAGGGGGATGAAAAATAGATGTTGTCCGATTCTCCACCCTGGCCGATATGCACACAAAATTTCACGAAAATCGGTCGAGTCGTTTCGGAGGAGTTCCATTACAAACACCGTGACACGAGAATTATATATATTAGATAACTTTGAAAAGGAGATTATACAATGGCTTTTTAATTCTTACCCTGGACAGTAATGACACACGTAGTTATAAAAATGTCCCCACGGTCCACCTGGACAGTGTGCTAATCCGCATCCAATTTTATGACTAGTGGCCCAGACCATTTGAGTGTAATGGCCGACAGCCTTCAGATTATTAACGGGTTTTCCGTATGTGAAGTTTTTATATTCTAAAAACCAAGTCTTTAGAGCAAAAAACCTGAAATATATATAATAAAGTGTTTTACAAATATTACTGCAACACAGATACAAAAATATTAAACACAACTTTCTTAAAATCTCTTTGTTCTCAAAGGATGCATGAATCCTTTAGGATTACATGTCCTTATTCATTGCTCGTTAGAAAGTCATTCCCAAAAGTTGTTAGACATTTAACATTTGCAATTAGTTGTACTCGTGTATTTTACGTAATTTTATATATAGTAATTGTTAATTCTGAGGAAATATCGTCATTAATTTACTTTGAACGTAATTTCAAAACAAATGAATTTATATAGCGAAAGATAAATCAACGTTTTCAAAGCCCTTGTATATTAAATTTAGCATGTGGACTCGCGTGAACTGGTTCCAATATACCATAATGGTACAATTATTTACAAATATTACAACTTTAATGAACTTGAAAATGAGAAATGTGTAAATAATGACTACCTACTGCCTCACAAGGACATCCACAAACCTTGTGAGGAAGCTGATACATCGCCAACCTTCAAAAAGGGAGATAAACGCTACCAGCAGCAACCAAATAACAAATGTGTGAATATTCCTAGTCTTCTATGAGACCGTAGTACTATCCCTTCTGAACCAACTCTTTATGCTAAGTAATAACCTGCTGTGTGACTACTACCCTGATTTTTCTAATGAATTATCTTTCTTAAATTTCCAAGTTGTAACGAAATACTTATTGAAGTTATACTTCAATTGGCGCGTATGGAATTTATGAGATTTATCATAAGGATTAGATCATAAGAAAAATTATGAGAGTAAAATTTTTACGATGCGCGTGCACACCAACTCCCAAAAAGCGACATGATGAAGTTAGTTGAAAGCGATTTGGCATTTACCTATAATTCCAACCACTATATTAACCGTTATCAATTTATTGCATTTCATGTCTTTTACACAAACAAGAAGTACTGGCACAGGGCATAAAACTTTTAGTAGCTTTTCTTTTGATACGATAAAGAACGAGAAGTGAAGAACACCTTACGTGCGTACATAGGTAAACTCGCACTATTTTTTTTTTCATTCTTTAAATTTTTATACACCGTGTCGTTACCATCGCGACTATAAATTAACACGTGTCTAACGCTACTTGCCAATAATCATAAAAAAATATTAACGTTAAAGGAAATCCATAATTAAAAAAAAATATTTTTCAAACAAACTAATTAAGTAAAAAAGAAACAAAATTTGTAACATCCTATACTGACTGCATCAGTCAGTATAGGATGTTACAAATTTTGTTCAGAGACACAGAGAACATTCAGAGACTTTTTCATTCGTTGCCACAGAGTCGCATTACAAGCCTCTCCTTCTAAAAGTATGTTTTGTCTCTTTTAAATTCATTCAACCCATTCATATGCTTTGTGACCTTTACAAATGAACTTTACGTTACAGTTTTACTAAAATTCTTTGTTATTCTATGTTATTAATTTTTTTAACTCTTTAAATATTGATGTTTAAAGAATGTAAATTTTTGATACAATTTTAAAAAGTTAGTCCTCTATATGTGTGTTCATTTATTGTCGCGTTGGTAACGACACGCTGTATAATGTCATTGAAAGAAAAATTGCTTGCTGTTCAACCACATTGAGAAAAGTGTAAGAATATTGACAGGCAACCATTATAATTTATGTTCTAATCTTTTTCAAGGCAGAGGATATTGAGACAGTTCGCAATAACACCTAGTTTTGAGTTTGAATAGTACTTTAAATATTCTACTTATGCTTATTCGGTATGATATATGAAAATAACATAGTGTGTAAGGTGCACGTAAAAAGCACAAGTCAATGCTACTATTAATTTCGGAATACCTGAATTGATTTTCTCATTTCTATTCGTTTTATAAGAATATTTTCTTGCATTTGCCAATAGCAAAATAAGTGCAATATTTACAATACGATAAATTATTAAACTTGCTTTTAAAAACAAGTCCCAAATGCCGATGGCCGTGATTATACAATTATGTTTATAGGTATAAAAAAGCTAAGGCTAACTGATGTCGTGCATAGAACAGAACATAACAAGAGGAAATCAATGAATACCAACAAAAAATGTACCTACGTCCATTCCTCTGTCTAACGACTAATAATATAATTTATCATCTCATTCATAAATACAGAAAACGCAGCCTTGCCAGCGTTTCGTCTTTGTTATGATACCCTTTATGATTAATTGTATTGGTGCAATATGGAATGTTAATAATGCATTCGTTCCTCTCAGGGTATACTCAAATTAACTACTTTTTATAAGTATGTGTGATAGGGATGATTTTCGAACTTAATTATGGTTAATTCATCAAATCATTTATAAAGTTATACTTCTTTTGACGCGTTTAGAATAAAAATATATGAGTAAAACACCGACAACCAAAAAGCGACATGATGAAGTTTGTTGCAAAGACACCAAGACGATAGTAATATAGCTGTTACATCTAGTCATAACGTACATTGATCAACAGTTATACCGCCAGTTTGTTTTACAATTACAACTTTTAATGACATTTCGTCATAGTCTAAACAATTCATTTTCACTTTTTAATACTCAAATGGCGAATAAGTACATGGCATCAGAGATAATTTAAATTATTAAAAAAATGGACGTTTCATTTATTTAATTTATATGACAAATAATTCAATTAATTAATGTTAACTTGTAATATAAGCATCTCGAAGAAAAAAAACACCGTTAAAGAACATTCGTGAGCTTGCCAGTCTGTGGCGAAAAATAATTAGTACGATTTACCATGGAGTTTTCTGCGCCGCAACGAATAGATTTTGTCCACACGTTCCTAGATATGGAACGGTGTTCTCCTGCGGATCATTGTGCTGCAGAAATATGCAGCGTTCCGCATAATTTTGAGCTTGTTGCGCAGCACCCGAGTGCCAGGACTGTGAATTTGAATAAAAAAGTTGCATAAATGATTTAAAAAAAAGTTATATTACTTTTACAATTTTATAAATGTGTGATGGTTGTAAAATAATTCAAAGTATTATGACTTAAAAGTAAATATATATAAAAAAATTATATTATTTGATCTCGCATTAATAATCTTGATGCCATTAATGCCTTGAATATATTTGATTGTGGTAGGGCCAAGCTTCACGCTAGGGGCAAGCTTCTGTTGTTGTTCACAGGTGGGTAGGCTCGTCGGTGGACGTACTACGGTTTCACAGAAGACCGATTTGAAATGAAAGTATTATACTTTTGCGTTTCGTCTAGTGAGTGGGGTGATAAGTGCCACACTTTTTAATAGTTGGCAACGCATGAGCAACTATTCAGGTTTTGTAGATGTCCATGAGCTTCAGTAAACACTTAAGATCGGGTGAATCGCCTGCCTGTTTGCCTCTGTACTAGTGTACCACTAAGAAAATACCATACAATGATAAATTAATCTGGTTATATGTAAAATTCGATGAAACTTGCCTATCCTATATAATATAACCTATGCTGCATTAATCGAAGTAGAAGAATGACTAGCTGCTGGTCGAATTGAATTCGCAGGACACTTTTGCTATTTTTTGGTTTACACCAAATTTTGTGGTGCCATAGCCGTAGTTTTCAACAATAATAATACTCACCATCAATAACATGTTGGAAGCAGTCGGTTGCACTTTTGTTCGAAAGAAATTGTGATAAAGGACTATTTTACGCCTAACGACTGATCGCCGGGGATTAAGACCTTCATCCGGAATTTTACTTGGTGGGAAAAGTTCTGAAATTAAATAGCGAAATCACTATTAAGAAAAAGTTCCTATATGTATAATAAAATGTATATGTATTTTCTATTAAATAGAAAGCAATTTTGTAAATGTAAAAACTGCACCAATAAAAAAACTTAGCTTTTAAGGAATAAAAATCTAGAATAATGTTTCATGTAAATGAAAACTTACGTCTGTTACTCCATTGCCTTATACTTTGTAATGATACTAGAGTATTAAAGAATATAAAAAGAGTTAACACGACAGTCCGAGGCAGCATTCTGAAAATTAAACATGTTTTGTAATGTGTCTGTATACGTATTGTATTATAACGCCAAATAATGTAAAAATAATTGTAGACATTAAAAAGCGTTTACGACCGTGCCTGCAATTAAATGTGCTTTTTTTTCAGATACAAAACAGACTAAATATATAACAGCAGTATCAGCCTTTGATCAGGGTAGAGCGCGATTGTCTAGCTGCACCCTTTAGTAGATTCTTTGCATAAATTGTAATTTGACTTTATATTAATTAAATATTAGTAATCATTTTTTTTAAATAAACCAAGTAAGTCTAGTTATTATAACCACTGCTTTATTAATTCTTTCGCTTGCTTCTTTAGCAATAAAAAAGATTCTATAGCAATGTAATTAAGTTCAAATTTTGTGTTAAATTCAATTAGACGCTCAATAATAAAATCTGTTATCTATGTACGAGCAGCGTGCAATGTATTCTCTGTATCGGGGTCATGTACTAATGATGAAGGTAATTAAATTATTTAATTAGTTAAAAACTATCAAGTTTGAGGGTATAAATATTATTTAATTATAAAATTTTATTTAAATATCACCATTACTATTCAGGATATCATTACGAAAAGACAACTCGATGTGATGAATTCCTTACAAAACAAGGAAAGTCTCTAATTATGCTCCTTCATTATCTACTATTCAGAAGCGGTCAAGTGAGTTCAAACGTGGTAGAGACGACGACCCCCGTGTCGGTGAGCCGATCAGTGCCAATACTGGAACAGACCCACGAAAAAGGTGGTCTCAAATCAGAATTTTCTGCTTATTCGTTCATGCCTATACCGAGAATATATTGAACGCCCCTACAATAAAACAAATATAACATTTGTTACATTGATCTAAATTCAATTAAAAATAAATGGCTCTAGTTAATTCAATCCCGCTTCTTCAACGTTAATACAATTAACAACATTTCTACTAATATAGTTAAATTAGTATTTGTTGTTATTTTCAATCAGTCACTAAATAATAAAATCTATTTCCTAATAAAATAAGAATGCTACATCTCTTTCAAAGGCGCCATCAGAATTTTATATGAAAATTTTTATTTCTTTGCACTTTATTTTTGCGCTCCTTTCTGCCTTGCACCTAAAGCGACCACTTCTTTTACTCTAACCCTGGTCCAGCGCTGCATAGCAGAACAATTACGAAGTTCTATCAGTACTATTGATGTAACCATCTATCGAATAAACTATTTACTAACAGAGATCGATTTATTCAACGGAGACGACTGTTTTATTCCTAAAAATAAATAATTATAATATAAAAATATATATATATATATATATATATAATTATAATTAAAAAATTAACGAATATTGAAGATTGTAAGCTATCTTAATCATAATGTTTTATCAGAATTGGGACGTATTAGCTAAAAAAGTTATATGCTACGGTTATACCAATTTTTATAGCCTTTGTATACACCGTAAAAATTAGTTAATCGATCGAATGCTTATTTGATTTACAAATTATGATCATTCAGATCAAGTAATTTAACTCACTTACCAATATCGCAAACTGATTGAAAAATAAATCGAGTCGTCAATTAACTTCATACATTTCTTGTAAACGGTTGTTGAACGCATGAAAAGGGTCAGGCTTAACGGTAAAATTGGTTTGAGGTGAGTTTCACACGATAACACAAACATAACGATAACAAAAATTTGTCTTTAGCACATTGTAATTATTAGGTATTTGACACAGCATATTACAGCCGGTCCGATCGTATTGCATAACCGATGTACTGAAATAAGACTGATATATGCCTAGATCATTTGTGTTCATGTAATACAAAATTTCAGGTCATACACGATCTGTTGATAAGGGTAAAATATTGCGTCTTATTAAAAAAATAAATTATCTTTAAGTAGTTAATAGAAAATGTTAGACGCGCAAATATACCGAAGCGTAAACCATTTAATTAGAAATATCAGCATTTAACTTGTAGTAGAAATTATAAGTTTTCCTCAAATTCCATGACAAGTTTAAAAGATAAAAATAAAAATAAAAAAGTTTGAAGAAGTATTATCATGAATGTTTTGGAAATCTCTTAATAAGAAACAGTGTGATAAATATATATACACTGCGTTACATGAAAAAGTGAATATTTAACGAACCGAAAAAAAGTGCCAACCCTAAAATATTAAACTGAAATTTCATAGATTATTTGAATAGAAGATAATAATTGTTTATTGCCTAGTTTAATAATATTTAGGTATAGAAGGAAGTCATTGTGCCGCTTTATGTACCGCCTTAAAACAGTTATGTGTGCCGATGAGGTAACATTTACGAGGTCGGGACTCTTGGACATTTAACACGTTTGAGATCGCGAGCATCCACAGCTTCACGGGAGAGCAACTTCGACTATCACAACTTTGGTCGTATCCCGACGCGTGAGGTGTGGATATATAATCCAGCAAGATGGAGCACACTCTGAGCCGTTCTTCTAAATTGACTAGACTCGAAAATTATCATTTTATTCAGGTACAAGCTTTTAGAAGTTTAAAACGAAACCTGTTTTTATTATAACTGTAAATAATGAAGTAGTCTTTTATGGTTGCCATTTACCTCCCATGGGAAGTTAGTTAAAAATGAAAATAACTTTCTCTTTAGTAGTTTTATATATTCAGGGTAGCGTTTCAATGATGATTATTTTATGTTTTATTTGAAGTCTTTTTTTTAAGTCATACTATGGTTTTCAAACATTGCCAACAGATTCTTTACAACGGATATTTTAACCCACTTTCGACTGTAAGTATTTTTGTTATATTATGTATATTTGATATATATTGTAACTCATTCCAGTACAAATTTTTTATAATAATAATTTTACGTTCACCTTATAACATGCTTATTATTTCCCTCTGATTACGATGTAATAGTAATCTATCAGAAGAGAGAGAGAAATACATACCTGTACTGAATTTTGACTTGATTAAAATGTAAAGAGTACTGTTCGTTTATTGCTTTTCAAATGACTGGAATTAAATACATGTTGTTTGTTTTATAAAATGTGTATAAAACTGATCTACTGAAAGGCATATTGCAGTGTTGTTTAGTATTTCTTACGATGCACTTTTAAGCTGAAAGCATCAGTGCCTACATAAACAATTGAGATGACATCTCATTTGTAACTCATACATTTGTGTCCCTGACCTTCATTTTAAACATGATAAATGAATAACCACGTTTTGACTTTGTATTTCGTTTAAAAGAAAAACATTAGATAGCCTTATTCTAAATTCCGTAGTATTTGATGTTATTAATAGAAAGTTTTGATGAAATTTAAGTGTAAATAACACAAAGATGACCTGAATGACGAAGTGGATAGTGAACCAGTCTTCTGGACTAAATGTTAATTCGGTCCCCACAACTGGAAAAATATTGTGTGTAAAAAATTGTGCTTTTGTAATATCTGAGGAAATATATTTCTACAAAAGAAAATTATTTTATGAGTTTTTACCTTTTATCGATAGCACAAGTATTTTTGTTTGGAACCGATAACCGATAATCTTTTATAAAATATGTCCCATTTATAAAATATTTATCTTTATCGTTTGGATACGAATTTTAGTAATTATTTATGTAGAACATACAGACGAGAGCAGATTTCCACTTGATCTACATTACATGCGAACTCTCAGTGGTTCAAACAGGTTTTAAGAACTTTACGTGAAATGTAAAAGGCTGTACCTCGGTACGTTCCAAATATAAAACACCAAAAGTAACAATTTTATAACAATAAAGAACTGTAGGATACAAGTGCTCACATTTATCATCTTAGTTACCGTATCAAATTATTTAATATCTGTTGGAAACGGAAGGAAAGGTACAGCAAAGACCTTTGTGATGTTCATGTGACCATTAAACGTCGACTATATAACAGTTATTAGGCAAACTTTTGAGTATTATGCCTGTAAGGTACTAATTTCATTCGGCAAATATTGTTCTACTTCCACGTACCTACTTACTGCCACCTGTAAATTAATAGTTTACAATAGACACGCTTAATTCTAATTACTGATGTGTTAAGTCCGTCAAACCGTTGCCTGTCGGACTTTATATTACATAGCAGGACATATATTTTACTTTACTATTATATTTAAAGGTGATTATAACATCTTTGAGTACATTTATTTGGACGCCCTAAAAAGTAAAGAGTATGTAACATATCCACATGATGATTTAGCCGGTTAAACAATTAAACGAAACGAACATTAATAATCTCCACAATCTTATTTCTAGAGCTCGTAGTCTTTGATAAATTAGAAATCTCTGAACGAGTTGTGTGTATTTTATTAGGATAACAAATTTTTTCTCATATACAGCTATGAAAATTCTAATGTTTTAATTAAAATGAACAAAGTTAAAGGCAGTGTCATGATAAAATATTTTAACTCTTTTAATGTGTTGTACAAAGAACTATACCCATCTTAGATTTATCAGCCATAGGCTAACGTGAAAAAATACATGATTAAAAGGTTCATTTAAACGAAATAAATTAGGGTGACATGGTCTATTCCACCTCTCTTATTTAACGCTGATTAAAAGAAAATTATATTTACAAAGTTTTCTAAAGTTGACTTTGGTAATCAATAACGCTAAAGTTTAGCTTGATAAAATCCTTAGTGAGTGAATCACAAGTGTATATTTTAATATAAAATAAAAATTTTATTTCATATATAAAACTGCAATTTCCTCCACATATTAAAATACACAAAATATTTTTCCCTCCAGTAGAGCTATCAAACAAAAAATAAACAAACTAAATTGATTACTTACCTTTTTAAATTAACTGATCGTGTGAACTATTTATAAAAAAAAACCTAAACGTCACAACAACGTATATCACGTAGTATGTGAATCGAAATTCTACAATCATCAATCACGAATTATTTTTGCAGAATATATTTGGAATGGTCATAACAACACGCTACACGCTCACTACCGAATCCGGCAACTGTAAGAATCGTTGTAAATGAATATCGGCTACCCATATAGCTGACCACGCACTGAGGAAGTGGCAAGTAGCAAAACGATCCTCAGCACACTATACGGCACAGATTGGTTTTTATAAATTAACGACAATTCAAACGATCTTTATTTCATCACTAATAAAATGTGTAAAATATGGTAAAATTTATGACATCCACACAACGGTGACTTACAATTTGTAGAATTACGAATATTTTCAAAAACCCGTAATATTAAAAATTGTACCAGTTGTAATGTATCGTAAAAAAAACATCATGTGTTTCATACAGTACCTTTAATGAGCAAAAAATAAGAATAAAAATGTCTTCATAACAAACGGAAGCAATTAAATTATTTGAAAAATTTTGGTTGAGACTAATTAAATTTAAATAAATGCTAAGATATTTATCTGAATTCAATGTTTAATCTTATACATTGTGCACGACTAGCAAATAATATAATTAAACTTTTGTTTCCTTATTCACCTATATTTCAGTGAATTTCTTCATTTAAATGATACAAAGTGGTAGCCTAAAACGTTCTCACGTTACAAATCATACAATTAACATCGACATTGATGTGTCGAGAATTGTACAAATGGCGCCTTGACACCTTGTGATTACTCTCAATTACTATGACAATTAACTATTTAACACAAGCATAGAGAACAAAGCATAAATTTAAAAACATAACGGATCACATTTTTATAAAATTAAAAATTGACAAAATCAAATTCTCTATTCAGCTTCAGAGTTAAAATTAAGGCTTTTTCGTTGCCGTCCCAATTCGCTTTAGAATTGTCTGGGTTGATTTCATGAGGAAGCGGAAGCTTCAGGAAATACTTTGATGAGTTCACAGTAACACTCTTAGTGTCTACAGACAGCTCCACATTTTCCATCTTGTCACCAGGCATCCTGATCTTTACGATAAGATTCTCGCAGCTAGCTGAGGAAGGAGTTTTCGGGCCAATCTATTTAGAAATAATGAAATTAATGAAAATAATATTACTTATTATCAAATAGATTATGGTACAACAGTAAAAATATGTCCTGTTTTACATTATTAATATAAAAATTTCACAGTTATGTCTTTGCATAGTTTAATGTCAACCTCTCAGCCTGCTGCATTTCACAAAAAAAAAATAATATCATGTAAGTAAAGTAAGCCGGCGATCTTAAACTGTTACGACTTGGGAACCTCCAAGAAGAGGGCATACTCTTTCCTGAAAGGCCTACAAGCCATTTGTAAGCCCTCAGGTGTTGCAGGTGTTAATGGGTGGCGGTAATCACCACCCATCAGGTCGTTTTATAAAGATAATTCGTATTGTATAAAATGCTAAGAAGTGAAGAAACTACGTATGTATGAACCTGTAAATAAACATCTTCGGCGGTTACTGATTGCTGATAATTCATACTATATTCAGGTGTCTTTTTATCCCCCGCGCAAGAAGCCAGGCTCACAACGTTTTCAATCTCAGCAGCCTCTCGTTCCTCAAATTCCTCAATTGTTTTTGGCAGACTATTTTGTTCAAAATTATCACTAGATAATTGGTCTCTATTAGATGTTATCTCATACCCTGAAATAGGAGCTACTGGTAAGTATTGAATATTCCTGTATACATTAGTTTAGCTATTATAAATAAGCCTTAAAAATTTGAATCAAAGCTGTGTCAAGAAAAGAGTAGGTACATGTATGAAAATGTTTTTATTTTCTGGAGCTCTTTGCTAGTACAATTAAAATGGTATAAAATCGATAAACTTGACATAGAATTCTAAATTCGCAGCTGATTTACCGTCACTATCGGCATTTTTTAATAGCAGGCGTAACTAACCCTTGTAAATCTTACGCGTATGAATGGAATAAGTAGGTACTTGGCAAAAGAACAAAAATAAATCTAATAATGCATTTTCCTCATTTTTTTTTAAATTACACGTGTCTAGTATTAGAACATTTTATTCAAAATTGCATATAATAAATGAAAGCATTTTTACGGATTTATCGCGTTTATTCTTAATTTTAGTTCCCGACGTTTTGAATGACATTTTAACATAAAACATAAGTCTGCAATCTGTGAACACCCGAAACACTACATCAGGTTTGTTAGACTACATATCCATAGAAAAAACATTGATTCCTCCCAAGAATGATTGGCGAGGCTATTGAAATTTAAAAAAAATACCCTTATTTCAGAAGAGGGTTGGGTGCTACCATCAGCTTGGGATTCTATGATCAATAATATTAAACCGAAGCCCAAACAAACCACTGTTTGTTTTTTTTTTTCATTGACAGAGACTAGTGAATTAAATTTTGAAAAAGTTGACTTACAATTATGGTAACGTTTCTATCATTGTGTTTAAAAATTTAAAAAAAATAAAAAATAAAAATAATAAATTTTAAATCTATATAGGATTTCAACAAATTGTATAGAATCATCAGTATGTTCATAACTAAACATTCGTTTTACATTTCTATTAGGTTTTTCCCTATTAAATTGCCGTTTTGTATGAAATAAGTTAAAGTATTTCGTTTTCAAACTTTTTTATTTTTGTTATTCCAAGTAATCACCCATGCAATCGATGCAATTCAGTGGTAGTTTTTTTTATGCCCTTCTTGTAAAAATCAGGCGGACGCGAGACGACAAACTCTTCAAAAGTATTTTGTACTGCCTCTCACATATTGCATTTTTTTCCAGCTATAAAGTTGTCAAAACTTTTAAAAAAGTCAGTGGGTGCAAGGTTTGATGAATAGGTATTATTTATTTATTTATTTAAACTTTTTGCACAAACATTTGTGTACAAAGGCGGACTTAATGCCATCAGCATTATCTCCCAGTCAACCTTGGGGTGGTCCAGAAAAGTTAGGGTAGGTGCATTTATAACAAATTTACAACAACAGAAAAAAAAAATAAACCAATCAAAAGATTTTCAAATATGTACATTACATATGAAATCTACCAACAAAATACTACACTAATAATATCTGATAAGGTGTAAAAAACTATACAATACCATACATATATATAAAATAAAGTAAACATATTAATGCACGATACATACACATATACATGATATAAGATATACATACTTACATACTCATATTTTATATATAAAATAAATATAATATATACATACTTTATATTATATTTAACGATTCAGAGAATCTGCTGACAGTTTTTTAAGGAAGTGCACGCGAGTTTTCCTTTTAAATGCGGAGCGACTTTTAGCAGTCTTGATTTTGAGAGGCAGCGCGTTCCACAAAATAATGGACTGAACAAAGAAAGAGTGCATGAAACCAGTACGATGAGAAGGACATTGGAGAAGATGGTTATGTGTCGAGCGAAGATTTTTATGATGGATTGTACTAAGATATTGAAAATGAGTTGATAAATAAGATGGAGTAGAAGAAGAATTTAAAAAAGAATAAAGAGTGGTTAGTGCTCTTAAGGAGCGGCGTTGGCTAATGGGTAACCACTGAAGTTGGGAACGATAGTGAGACACATGGTCATATTTACGAAGATTGAAAATGAATCGAATGCAGTTATTCAGAAGACGGTCTAGTTTATTGAGGTGATCTGCATTCAGGTCAAAGTAGCACACGTCGCCATAGTCGATTAAAGGAAGGATTAAGGACTGCACGAGCGTAGCTTTAGTTTTAGATGGTAAAAAATGTTTAAGTCTGTATAGGCAACGTAGAACACTTGTGACCCTCTGACTGACACTGGCGATTTGTTCTTTCCAGCTCAGGGTCATATCGATAAGCAAACCAAGGTTTTTCACATTCTGGCTTATGGGGATCGTAGAGTTGTTGAATATTATTGGTGGAAGATTGCCTAAATGTACTTGATTTATAATACGACAACTCCCAACAAGAGTTGCCTGACACTTCAAAGGATTGACAGTCGATCCGAATCTGTCAGACCACTTTTTTATAGCATCTAGGTCTCGGTTGATGTTATTGATCACAACGGATAGGCTGTCACAGTTGTAAATCGTCAGCATAAAGATGGTACGCACACTGAAGATGAAGAGTAATAAGATTTATGAAAACAGAGAATAAAAGAGGAGAGAGAATTCCGCCTTGAGGAACACCAGTCGTCAAAAGCCAGTTTGATGACAATTCACCGACATTAATTGACTGTTGGCGCCCTCGAAGATAGGATGTGAACCATTCCGGCACTTCATCAGAAACCATAATGTGGGAAAGGATGGCTAAAAGAATGTCATGACTGACGGTATTAAAGGCGTTTGAAAAGTCAATTAAGACCATGACTGTGATTTTGGTATTATCCATGGCTGCCCTTATATCGCCGGGCTTGTTGCCGTTACTGTTGTTGCCGTTAATGTTACTTGCCGTTTTTGCAGAGTTGTTGCCACGACGCAACTCATATTTCATGATTACACGAATTTTTAAAGTATGAAAAATGTTTAAATGTAATGAAAATACAATCACACAGTACAATCAACAGCTAACCAAGAAACTAAAGACTGACTTTGTAAAAATAATTTCATGTTTTAAAACAAAATGAATTTGAATTTATCGCTAATCACAGCTAATCAAAATTTTTATTTTGTTAAATGGCGAGCACTGAAGAAAGGAACTATTTTTTTTAGTTGAACATTATGATTTTAATTAGTTATTACGTTTAATAACTAATTAAAGAGCTTCTGTGACGCTTTTTTAAAATTCTGTATCGGAAATCCTTGAATCCAGCTACAAAAAGTAGTAATGTGGTAATGGTAATATCAAACGTATTAGAAGAATAGAACTCTTTTCACACGTGTATTCCAACATAAACTTAAAATCAAAAGTTTATTCGTCCAGCACTGCTTCATAATCACTTATTAGTGTTTTGGAATCATTATTTTTATTAATTGTAAAAATATCGATTTCACTGATTGGATCCTAATGTCGCATCGTGTTACAGAGATAGATATTAAAATTAATTAGAATTTAATTTTTATAAGATCCCAACGCCTGCTTGAGTTTGAAGAGAGTACAAAGATTTTATTGATAAAGCCGAAAAATGTTTAGCTATTGTAGAACACGAACAGTCAGCTCACAGATCTAAATCTTAAGCAAATTTGAACTGTGGCATCCGCACGTCATGAGAAACACCCTTGGATTAATATTGAATTTTCTTGTTATGATACTCTTAAAGGTCAAACGTATGGGCTCCCTAACTATTTTATTCCTGCCAGGTTTATACATGTAGACCATTTCTTTCTACTTCTTGTAATCCAATGAAATGCGAAAGCACAGAGTTAGTGACATTTGCTCAACGTGGCTTACATCTTTATTGCAATCGAGCAAGGAAGTAGAGTATTTTCCTAACTCCGTGTATAATCTCGTCTATAAAGGATTTAGACATTAATTAATGTAATTAGTTGATTTTGAATATTATGGCTCAGATAAGTTGAGCTTTTAGATGCGCTGTAAGTGCTCTTGTAGTCTTCTTCTTTTTCCTTTATAGCGGTTTCCTTCGGAGTCTCATATCATATTTAGATAATAATTTAAAAGGTCGCAGAATCCCAGAACACTTTTGAAAACGAATTATTCTTGCAGCCGTTTATGCCATAATTTCGTAATTATTAGTTAAATTTCCCATTAGCACCGGGTGTTTTTTGACCTAACAATTTTTTTTATTCTTTAATCAACAACCAGAATTCTCTGGTCGCTTATAGATTTTGAGAAAAAAAAATATTTAAAACTATTATTTTCACTAAGAAAATCCGCCGGGTACTAATGAAAAAAAAATACCTCATTATTTTATTAAAACTACGTCATGCAATCTCATTTACCCATGGCAAACTGCCGGGTGACCGTCTTCATATGACCAAATCGTCTTCTAATCTTATATTAACTGATGTTTTTGCTTTCAGTCCCGAGACTATTAAAGCTTCATCTGACGCAGTGTGTTTGTTGTTGCACTAACTGTGGGATTAGTGCTGTCCGGCGGGACCCCCGGCGGTGGGTCCGACGTATCTGTCATCGTCTTCATATTACATGCCTCACTTATATGAGCGCAATGTCTAAAATTCTCTCTAAACTATTTTATTGGTTATAATATATAAGTATGCTACTAGTATTTGTTTGGTAATTATACACATAATATTTTGGCTTTACCTGAGTAAGGAATGTCATCCCCTTGCAACACGTCTGGTTCAGGTTCTCTTAACAGCTCAACTAACTTATTCATAGCAGACGGAGTAAATTCCATTTTTTATAGAATTACAATTTAATATTAAAGGATAGTAACTTTAAGTAAAGATTGTTATGTAGTATACTTTATTTATGACTAATTTAAGTTAGAATAATATTTACAAAATGTCGATATGTTAGATTATGTTGCTAAGTTACTACTCATGTCTATGCAGATAATAAATAATGAAGTGTCTATGTGTGACTGGTCTTTAGTTTTTTCATGTAAATATTTGAAGCAGTTTAAACAAATAATTTTATATTATTGTAACATACAAAGTTATTGCTGTTACAAAAATATTAGGCTGTATAAAAATATCTTAAAGTACACAGCCTTTTTTGTATAGTTTATGGAGTTTAGAGATTTGGCGCTAAAATATAAAAATGTTCTTAAATAGAATACATCAAAGAGAATGTAATCACTATGTTTACTGGAATACATTTACACAAAGTAACTGTAGGCATAAGTTCTACAAATTGCCAAAAATTGATAAAACAGGGCATAAACAGGAGACAGGTGAAAAATTTTAATAATAAAAAATTAAAAAGAATATATTTATAACAAATTATGTTATTTATATAATACCTTGGTAAATTTATGATGCATTTTAACTTATGCAATTTGATAGTGTTTATTTTCGGACTATATAATTATCATGTTATGATGGTATGACCCACATAGAAATAGCTCTAAAATTATTTATGGTATAAATCTTGGAAGTAACTTTTTAGTGTTAGCCAGTTATAATTTCTGTATAAAAAAGTAACATTTATGTATAAATATAAAGTATAAATCTGTAGTAGCCTCAAAGAATTAAGGCAATGTACTATTGGTAAATGATAAACTGAAATATTAAGGAGATTAAGAAATAAATCCTCTAAATGTATTGTTATGGAAGATATTTTTTAATAAGAGTACATAGTAATTAAAAAATAATGTTGAAAGTAATAAATAAAAAAATAATATATTTTGTTGTTTTATATTTATATATCTAAACACAAGTTACATTTTTTGTTTTATGATCATTGCTAATTTTTATTAGTTACAATAAACTATCATTGAGTTAAAGGAGTTTAAAAATAAAAAAAATATTTTAAGGAAAACCATCATCATCCTCCTCGGCCATCTCCTTGGCTAATTCTAGATCTTGTTGTTCTCTTTCTCTACGTTCTTCAGCACTTTCTAATTCTTTACCATATGATTTTGGAGGATATCTCATTGCCTTAACACTTTGATTATGCAAGTCCAAACAGAATGAAATTCTCTGATGGAACGCGAGTTGAGGTTCTCTAGTACAATAAATGTCAGAGCTTTCTTTGTTGCTCATGTATCCCTTTTCTGGATCAAGAGTGGCCTCAATAACTCCATCTCTAATTGCTTTTGCGACAATGAATTCTGCATCTTCTGCAGAGTCTAAACCTAACTTTCTGGCTATATCTTTTGGGGATATGCGAGAATATGAGAGGCCAATTGAGCGTATGGCAGTCTTGATAACATTCTGTCGTAATCTTAAAATCAATGTAAAAGTATGATCTGTACGGAATTGAGGTCCATAATTCTCAAGAACTTCCCCAAATCTTTGCAGATTTCCTAGTCTAACTGCCTGTGTTAATTGGAAATATGGGGCCAAGGCCTTTCTCAATGGTGCTTGACGAAAAATAGCACGTTCTGGAATATCACCCAACAATAATTCAACAACAATAGCCAATTTTTGAACAGTCTGACGGAATCCTACAGCAGCCGTTTGTGGAGCCTTTCTTAAAGCTTGCACTAAATGTTTGTGTGCATCACTGTATTCTAGTCTAGCCGCCTTTATTCTTCCAAGATAATACAGAAATCTAGCCCATTCATTATTGCTAGCATTCTCTGGAAAGACTGATTTGCTGACTAATTTATCAGCTTGATCATATAAAGAATAATGGAGATAATTGCGTAGCAGACAATTAATCAAAACAGCTTGGCCCTCATAATCATTTCGAAGGGTTGAAGTACGCAAACGGGCATGCAACAACCCTCTGATTAGGTCCAGCTTATTAGTTAGTTCAAATACACGAGAATGGTAGAAATAACATTTAGCAGCAATTAAATCAAGAGTTCTCCTATTCTGTGCTGTTACTTTGTTCATTAATTGTTGGGAGCACTCGGTGGCCTCTTCTAGTTTGTTGTTATCTAACAAACGCAACAAGATTAACAAGTGAACATAAACATCTACCTCTGGAACTGGTGTTTTCGCAGCACTTCTAGAACGGGGTGTTTCAATATCAACAGCACCTGGTAAAGGACTTTCAACGAACGCGAGTAAAGTTTCTTTCTCCGGGCTTGATGGATAGAGTTGGTTTATTATAGCACGAAGGACATTTCCGTTTAATTTTCTCCTTGTACTCGGAATAGACCGTAACACTCGCATTGCAAATCTCGGTTCCTTTGAAGATACGGCTTTATCGATTTGCCTGACATGTTCTCGTAAGTCTTGAACAGTTAGTACATCAGCATCTTTTTTCACTTCATTCATTTCAACGTCGCTCACCCCTGCTGGACTATCGGCATTTTTCATTTCCACGTCTTGTTCAACTGGGGCCATTTTATTTTAGTTGTTTCGTCTTAGTTATAATCGAATTCTGTAATATAAATTCAAACCGAACAAGAAACAAGCATTCAACATTTATTCTTCAAGACACAAATCTGGATTTTCACGCTTAATGACATATGTCAAAAAACTGCCGAGTAACATGGTCATTGGACACTAAAATGGACGTTCGGTTATAATAATTGAATGAAAAACTTGAACTTTGTTTCGATCTGTTTTATGTTTTTACTTTGTTATTAGAAACCTGACCTCAATTTATTATAGGTTATATTAGTTTATATTTATTATATTGACTTTTTAATATGTAATAATATTAATGCCGTCCGCTCCACGAATTCGGCGCAACGTAAGATTGATAATTTTATGTAACACAAGGTATACATAAATAATAATTTCAGGTTAACCATTAATCTTCAAAAGTTAAAGGATCGTAAACTTATGTAATCAGGGTATCGTGTGTGCCGCGGAGCGTTTATAAATCTGCCTCGCCAACAAGGATATCTTGAGTAGGTTGAGAATCGGGGAGCTGGCATAGCGAAACCGCTGTGCCTAGTGTAAGTTTAAAAGTACCTAAATTCAGTTGAGTGCTGTGTGTATGCTAAATTCAGAGTGTGATGATCCAGTATCGGCCATCGACCGTTCGGGCCTTTCTCACCATGACCTTGCCAAGTCGATTTGTCGTCTCAGGTTTGGATCTTACAACCTAGCAGCGGATAAAAAATTTTACGACAGTTTTATCTACACATTCTACTGAACACTAATTATAGTAAACCCTGTGCGTATATGCCATAGGGTGGCACTTGACATCGTCGATGATAATCTTGTATCGGTTCGCCGTGTTTCACATCTTCATATAAGAAAATTACTTCATATAAAGAAAAAAACGCATCAAGATCCGTAGCGTAGTTTTAAAGATCTAAGCATACACAGGGACAGACAGACAGGGATGACTTTGTTTTATACTATGTAGTGATATATTATCATCATCATCATCTTCTTGCCCTTACCCCACCTAGGTAGGCTCGGCACAACATGTGAATCATATTGTAAGTGATTTTGGCTATGTTTTTTACGACCGGCCGCCGCGTAGCCTGCCTGATGACAACCCTTCTTGGAAAACAAACACACAGATACGGAACAATCATCCGTGGACCACACAAACATTTGTCAACAAACTAAGTAAGTCGTCCAAGTTTCTAACGTTTCTAACGTCAACTTACTTACGAACTAATTTATTAATTATTTATGCAAAAATTTACGTTTCATAAGAAAGCGCAAGCGTCTATTTGAATAAAAATATTTTGTATTTGAATTTGAACAAATACTTGTAAACCAATAGCTTATCAACGGTGCCATCAAGTCTATACTACAGTCTCTAATTATTATTATAACTAAAAATGACAAAAATATAATTGTTTGATTAATGAAATTCTACTCTTCTTTCATTATTATACATCATATTTTCTTAAACTAACTTGAATGTTTCACATATGCCAGGCGTCCTGCGACGGCCTTTCTAGGTAACTATCATTATTATTCTTCCCATTACTACATCAATTAAAACAGACTTCGTGTACAGTGTTTTTTTATTTGGTAGACAAAAACTCTATTTTAGGCGAATTCCAAACTCGAACATAATAGGTACCTACTTTCCATAACGACAAATTCAAAAATATAATAAAAATATACTAACTGTACATCAAAGTTATTCATTATGAAATTACTAAATAAACAAAACCCATTGTGTGTTTTTGTTATACGAGTATATTATATTTTCAATGTTACGAGTTAATTGGACAACGTGGTTTTAGAGAGGTTTTTCACATTTACATCATCCATTGCAAAAGGTGCCAAAAACTTAAATGTTAATTGTTAAAAGTAAACAAATACAATATCAATAGTATAATAACTTTCATTAGCCGTTTTAATGTTTATGATTAATAGTTATAATCGATTTTTAAATAATTTCTTAGCTGTATTACTGATATGAAACGTTATAAAAATATTTTTAAACCCCATTGGAATTCGTAATTTTATACTCTATTTTGTTTATTAATGTCTTAATAAAATGATTTAATTCGTATAATTACAAGTACTAATAGTGCAAAATGCCATTGCCATTATCTTCCTATTCCATAGACTACAGTATAGACAAGACAAAACTACTAGCATTGCTCGATGCTCGTAGTTGCTTAACCAATAGGTATACTACTGGAATACTGATAAAAAGGTTTTAGTAGTTCTATTACTAATGTTACAATCGAAAAGACTTGGATTGTTACCATCAAATTATCACCGCAAAAGTGTGTGCCAAAAATTATAAGTGAAAGAAGCGCTGCGACTGCAGGGGACCGGTTGATTCTTTACATAAAATTTCAATGTGTTCTGGAAATGGTTTGCAAAGAGGACGTGGTATCATGGTTTAAAGAATTGGAAAGCTATAAACGCATAGACGCAATGTGCACATTGTTAAACATGTGCTTACCATTCGAACTGCGCTTTATTGGCACCTATTTGGAAGAGCTTGGTAAGCGAGATTTTCAGGAGTTGCGTGGTGCCGAACTTAGAGCCAATAATCCCACGGACCTGGCAGCAGACATCGGTGGCGCTAACACAGATCCACGAACACGTCGGAAAATGGCTTTATATGTTTCGTTGTTACGTTCCTGTAATTTTGCATGTGCCACTACATTGTATAATGCTATGGTCAGTTTAGAGCAAAGTGGTTTATTGAAGGGTTTATATGGAGATCTTTTGGAGGAAATATTATTATTGTATACAATGGCATTGCATCATCCAGCCTTTACTTTTGATCAGAAATCACATTTCGGTGAAATATTAGAAAAATTGAAACTTGAAGATCAGCGGATACACTATCAAGATCAGTCTGAGCACATTAATGTAGCACCTGTGAGTGGATGCCATAATCAGTCTAGTATCACACCCAATATGTCAATTCCGCCTCCTAATTTGCCCAGTTTGGGACCACCACCTGGTATCATGTTTGTAAAAACACCTGGGGTTCAGGTTAGTGCTATTGTTCATATTATATTTACATTTGTTTTTAAACAATTTGTTAGTGCATGCAATTTTTCCATTGTCTTTTAATGATTCATACATTATCAACATAATAAAAAAACAAATATCTACATAATAAAGAACACTAGTTACTTTCCCACAGTTTCCCAGAATTTTTGAATACTACAGAAATCATAACTTTTAACAGGGTGCTTATAAGACTTACATTTTATTTGTTATTACTACCCTTTTTATGTTAACCTTACAATACTTACTGATATTATAAAGGCGAAAGTATATGTATTGATGGATGTTTGTTATTCTTTCACACAAATACTACTGAATAGATTTTAATGAAACTTTACAAAAATATTGCTTATACATCTGAATAAGACATAGGCTGTAATTTATATACATATGTATATGTCTTTCTGTCTTAAAGTTACACCATCAGCCTATTCTATGTAGACATAATCGCGGGCAGCAGCTAGTAGTAAACAAGTATACTTTGCTATAAATAAACAACTGTGTTTTTGTAAATAAATACACATTTTCGGCATGCTTGATTTGAGAGTTGCTTTTATATTAAATATGTTATTTTATAAACTCCACAGCTCCTAAGACTAATAGGTTTATTTTTACTGAACTGAAATAGATATTTCTCAAAGGTATTTTTTTTATTGGTAGGGTATAACTTCCATATTTGGGTATCAAAATATTTAATTAATTAACAAAAATCTAGTGCAAAGATAGGATAGTAGACTGTTATCCTTCAAAATAAGGTACCTCTCATTGATTCATCTCATTGTTCTTTTGTTATATTCCAATTTAGAGACTCATGGTACTTTCGCACAGGTCAACTAGCCAATACATAGTGTAAAACAAAGTCGTCCCGCCCTCAGTCTGTCCCTATGTATGTTTAGATCTTTAAAACTATGCAACAAGATGTAAGAGGAAGGTTTATATGTATAAAACATTGCACCCGTACAAAGCCGGGGCGGGTCGCTAGTTTTCTTACAAAAGAAGAAATTATATTGACTTCTTATTTTGTTATTGCTGTACGAAACACATATTTACTATGCATTTGAATAAGTATAATAATATAATAAATATAAGTATAAGTATAATAAGTAGTATAATAATTTCCATTTACAATATTTTTTTTTATAAAATTTTACTGCTTCTGTTTCAATAATTTTGACATTCCTTATTTTCAGCCTGCTAACACAGACGCTGTAGCTGAACTTAATTCACCACCAATGTTAACTGGTGCTGGTAGCGTAGTACCAATGCTAGGAGAGGTGCCTCACCCTCCTCCTGGGCTGCCAATGCCACAGTATAATATAGGTGAATTTATAGGACAACATGCTTGGCCAGCAAATATAATTGTTTCACCGCTAAATCAACCACTAGAAGTAAGTTAATTACTGTAATTTAATACATTTTTTATATTAATGAAGGTTGATGCATAGTAACTGTGATAGGGCCACATAACAGCCTTAAATGGGTAGTCTCATCCTGGGAAGTATCACAGCCTCACAGAAGACCGGTGTGAAGTCAAAATATTAAACTTTCGAGTTTTGTCTGGTTTGTAAGGTAACTGAGGCCAACAATTTTAAAAGTTGTCAATGCATAAGCATGCCATCGCACATTGCAGATATCCATGGTCGGCGGTATTCATTTAAAATCTGGGGCAGGGGGAACTGTCTGCTATGAAATATTTGTCTGCATTGAAAATAAAAGTGACTAATTGGTTCCTCCTAGAACCTATTATTTATTTTATTGGGTTATGATTTTCTAAACAGTGTCATGTTTATAGGGTTAATAAAATATTAATAATCGACTATCTTATCTTAGTTTTATTAAATTTATTATTCTATAATTTAGCCCATATGAGTATTAAATAAAAAAAGAATAGGTATATGCTATTTCATTGTATAAAAAATTCAATCCTAATTTCATGGAAACTGTTAAATGTGTCCAATTGATGTGCAAGTATTAGATTTGATACCAAAAAGTTTAACTTATAGTTAGTATTAAAACATGTAGAAAAACTACGAAAATATTGTCGCCGCTGTGGGAATCGAACCCACGTCTTCGGCATTCGGGGCCTGACGCTCTAGCCACTGAGCTAAACGGCTGATAGCCACAGCGACGAAAATCTTAACGCCTTGTTTCTACATTGTTATTTAGCATTTGAAGCAATGCTTGGTGCATCTATTGTTATATCCTTTACAGCATACAAACAATTTCGAATATCGTTTTACAACTATAATTCGAACGAGAGATGTCGCCATTGCTTTTTTTATAAATTTTAAAGTTTTTTATAGTGCTATTCTCTGCACTTAAGATTGAACATTAAAACATGTAGAAAAAGTACGAAAAGATTGTCGCCGCTGTGGAGAATCGAACCCACGTCTTCGGCATTCGCGGCCTGACGCTCTAGCCACTGAGCTAAACGGCTGATAGCCACAGCGACGAAAATCTTAACGCCTTGTTTCTACATTGTTATTTAGCATTTGAAGCAATGCTTGGCGCATCTATTGTTATAATGTATGAATCAAATAAATAAAATAAATAAATGCTAAATAACAATGTAGAAACAAGGCGTTAAGATTTTCATCGCTGTGGCTGGCTATCAGCCGTTTAGCTCAGTGGCTAGAGCGTCAGGCCGCGAATGACGAAGACGTGGGTTCGATTCCCACAGCGGCAAAGGCCTCTTTTACATAGGGAATCAGGGCATTGTCCACCATTTTGGCGAACATCACTATGTAACAACTATAATATGTATTCATTTATTAAAAAAGTATGTTTAAGTGTGTTTTATCAGTTACCTAGATAATGTATTAATATGTTTCGAAATATTTATTTATAACTCAAGATCCTATTATAAAAAGGAATTCTGTAATCAAATACATTATTATCCAGTATGACTACTCCATCATAATATTTCAGTAAATACATTAATTTAAGAATCATTTCAGGTTTTAAATTATCAAACTGGAGGTGCTCCACAGTCCCCTCTTGTATCATCTCCTGGTGACAGCCGAGCAGGATCTCCTCGGGCGCGCCGACGTCTTTCACGGGAACGATCGCCACCTTTACCATCTCTACCTAACAGCATCTCTGATCCATTACCCTTGCCACACCTAGCTTCGAATTTTGAGAATTTATCAGTGGCTGAGGTAAATACAGTTTTATTCATTTTTAACCATTTAACTTTTCAAATTATGTATTTGGATAGAATGCACAAGATGACTTGAGTATTGAAACAGTTCATAGGAAAACTCATCAAATGTTGCGCTGGTTGTAACATAAAACTTAAAGAAACTGGCTTCACAAGGCTGCAAAGGCAAATAACTGAATGTCTTCCTTGCAAAAAGACATTTTGCTTGAGTTATTTCAACGAAAGTCATTAAAAAAATCCTTGATATTATTTGAAGCCTAAAAAGTTATAAGTAGAAAAATTCGACGGGACATGATTTTATTATATTTTTAGTTTCTCTACCCATACATCCATTAAGCATAGACAAGTCCAGTTACCACTTCCATCCATCCCAGAAAACGCAATTAAGTTTGCTTTGGCACATGTATTAAGTGCATTACGCACAGCTGCCTGAACCAGGATCCCATATGCATTAAGTATAATAAACGGACAGTCAAAATGTTAAAATTAGCCTTTTTGTGGTTTATAAAGTTCAAATTAATATATTTGTTGTAAAATGAACAAACTTTCTTAAAAAAGAATCTTCATTGGACAATTCTTTTATTTTCTTTCAATATATGATATTACAGATACGACATAATATTGGAGAAGAGAGGTTGCGTGAAATCAGCGCAGTGCACCAGCATTACCGATCGTTAGAAAAATTAAATGGAGTAAGGAGAAGAACAGGTGCTTATATACCACCGGCACGTTCCTCATCGGATAGCGGGTCGAGTGCAGCGTCATCACCACCGGGCACTCCTGCGCCGCCACCACGCAGGGCCACGCCCTCTGCTCCTACGGTTTCTGGTCCTAATGCGCCACCACCTGTACCTTATTTGCCCTATCCTCGGCCGTTCGCCTATCCTACGCCACCGCCAGCCTACCGACCGCAACAGCCAACTTTTGCAAACGGTGAACCACCACCATATCCTAATCCGACTCCATATGCTGGATTTGTTCCAGTGATATACGCTCCTCCAAAATTGTCTTGTTGGAATTGTGGCGGCGCAGGTCACGCGGGTCACGAATGTAAAGAGCCTAGCATGGAAGAGATGACTCGGGCTGGAGGTTATCAATTGGACTTTGGCGGTGCTCCACCAGAAACAACAGAAAAGTAGGGCCTGATTATGCACTGCTAACATGTGGTCTTAGCACTTGTGTTGCCCAGCTATGTTGCGGTGGGTAACAATGTGACTTTATAGCCCAGAATTGGCATCAGCCATGATTCTGCCTCTGTCACAGGCTGGCATAGAAGCGGACACCGACTTGAGCCGATCGGAAAACGTCCAATTAATCAGAGCGGCAAAAATCCCTTTGTTATACTTAATCTGACATTACTCCTATTATATTGAAATTAACAGTAGGTGTACAGTGTTAGTCTTAATATGCGCTGACAAAAATTTAATAATGTATTGATGTGTTACTTGTAACAAATAAAGTGTGTTGCACTTTCAATGTTGTGACAAAATTCTATTTGATTGTTTAAACATCACGGATATTTGTGTAAATTTGACACTTGATTAGTTTTAAACGATAATTAATAATGATCTATAGATCGATATGAAGTTGATTAATTTTTAAAAGTAGAAAAGAAAATAAGTTTTTTCAATACCTTTTTTTTATTCAAGGAAAAATAATAAGCCAGAAAAAATACGAAATTTGATACAAAAAATAATTTTATTACTCAAATGAAATGGTATAGTTTTGGCATTTATATGCATGATGCGAAATAATGAATGCTAAAATAACTTGTTTTATGTCACTTTTGAGAATACAGAGATTATTAAAACAACTGCAGAATAGGCAAATAGATATCCCATACAAATTCACTCATTTATGGCTAGCTTTTCAAAATAATTTGATTTAAAGTTGACTTGACCACAGTCAAGTGGTATTCATCTATAAAAACTGAAAAATCTTTAATAAAGATTTTTGAAGTCTACATATTAAAATTAAATGGCATTGATTTTTCGCTAAAAATTTCTACCCGAAAACAAAATTGGAATGCACTAATCTCAAGTTCAAGTTTTATAATATTTTATTACTTAAAGAATATTGAAAGTGTAATCACTTTTTGTTACAATGTAGATAGGTTTTGTTTTAGAATGGAGAGGGAATTCCATAACCACATAAATATAGTAAGCAGCATTCTCAAGCTTTGCTTTGATGATGAAAGATTCAGATTTGATACATTCTGATACTCAAATTAGTGATAAATATATATAATGTTAATAAGTAATTGAAAACCAAAAAAAAATATATATATGTAAAGTTAAATTGTTGCTACTTTATCCTTTCTGAATAGGTTTTTAGTATTATAAGATTTACGAAATTATCTTGTTTTGAGCTTTTATATCTAATTTTTTAAAAGATTGTTCTTAATATGTTATTGGCAATGGCCCTATGCTACTTTGGCAAAAAAGAAAGTAGGTATAAAAAAACCACTTTTTCTTATGCTAAAATCTAACTGCTGACCATATATCGGAAACCACCATATATAAGGTCTTTAATATGTGGGGAAAACCAAATAATTCAATTTGGTCAACAAAAATATTTGACAAATTTTGAAATTATCAATAGTTTTTTATTAAATCAATATATTTAAGTGACTTCATATCTTTAACTAACTCGTATAAGACCGTTTAAATTAATTGAAACACAAATTTAATGTATATTATATAATATTGCAGATGCAGAAGATTATTGAAAAAAAAAAAATATTAATGAATGAAACCATTTTGTTTTTCAATAAAATATGGCGCATCATCATTTCACTAAGCTACTTGGAAAATTCAACAATGTAAACAACTTGGAAGCCCTGTGATGCTTTAAACTATTATTGTGCCATAGATCACTTCAAATACTGAGTAACAAAAAGTATTACTTCATTACTTTTACCACAACAGAAATCCATGGATAAATTTAAAAATTGTATTGCTGGATTTTATATTATTACCAGAGATTTGATTTTTTAGATCTATGTTGTATTTTCAGATTTTGTTAAAATTTTACTATTAGCCATTACCTGGAATTATTTCATAGAAAATCTGTTTTATTAATGGTTGATTTCAAAATAAGTTATATACAGTTTTTGTATTAAGCTGATATTTAAAACAAGTTGTGTTTTAGTGCCTGTGGTATAAATTTAAATTAGTACATCCTCAGTAGTACAAGTAGAATTGGTTATTAGTGTTATCAGAATAGGACAAAGTAATTTTAAGTGAGATTTAAAAATTAATTTAAAATTATTCCTTACGTTCATTTAATTTAAACTTAATTGTAAACTTATTTGTGACTTGTATTAATTTGTTTTCTCGCTTATAAGAAGGGAGATCTGTTTGGAGTTAATTCTAAACTGTGGAATTCCCCAAAATTCTAGGTCTTCACTGTTTAACTTAATGTACAAAACAGTGTATTAACAACAGCGCTACTTAAATCTATGCAATTTAAAGTTCAAAGTTGATAACATGAGCTAGGAAGTAATGATTGTGTCTGTTGATTCAAGACTGATCTCTTAATACTGAAATATTTTTTATGCAGCATTGAAAAAGTTTTAAAGCCATAAAAAGGGCAACATTTTATTGGAGATGAGACAATTGTTATAAATACGACTGATCACATACCAGTGTGTTTATAGAACTGAACCGAGTTTCAGAACAAGGGATTATTTAGATCAAGCTCATAAAAATGCAATGCTCTTAAAATTAATAATCGTAAGTGTTTTATAAATAGTCATTGTAAATAACTACAAATTTATAAAGGTCACGTGAGACGCGTTCATATTTTGTAAATAGTTCGGTTTATATATTTAGAGATTGAGTATATTTGTAAATTGTTTTGTATTAATTTGAATGTCCCATATAGTGAATTCGATGGTTTCTCTATGACCATTGTCACAAATCACAATTTTGCATTTTTTTAAACTTCCCGTTGCCGAGAAACAGACTAATTAGAAGGGTTGTAAACTTGTTTTTTTGCATAATTATATTTTTTTATGGAAACAAATGTGTGTAGAGCGGCGGTGGGTGCGGGGTGTCGTTTACTGGCCGATTTTGCATATGAGAAATAAACCACTTTTGGGCCTATTTAAAGTAGGTATTTGCTGTAAATTTCAAAATAAAAAAAATATTTGAATAAAATTTCTTTGTCTTAATTTTTTTTAATGAAAAGTAAATGTTACACTACAAATAGGTTAGTCTGAATTTCATGATCGAAATCCAAGCAGTTTAATTTTCTTTGTCTTATCATATTTCCTTTAATATTTTGCATTTTTACTTTAATATAAATCTTATTTTTGGATAAAAACATCACTTCGTTTAATGTTATAGGAATGGAAATTAACGTACATTGCCAATAAATACGCCTTTCGCGATAAATGTTTGTTTACCAAACGTCAGGTCAGATATAGATTAGGCGTAATGTGTAAAATCTTGAATCTTTGCGAAATCTCTATGAAGTTATAATATTTCGTTCTTATGTAATTTATAACATAATATGTTAAATCAAGTGGGCATTGTCAAAGATCTATTACTTTCGGGCACATTGAAAAAATTACATATTACGTACATAATATAAAAATATTAAAATGCTTCTAATGACAATAAGGTAGAATTTCATTTTGCATTTGGCGCGATCGATTTCATCATGCTTAGTCTACAAATGAGTAGAATAATCTTATGGGACTTTTAATGTAAAATATTATGCATGTCTATCAATCCTTATGAAGGTTGTATGTCCACATATTGTAATTATTATCTTATTTATATCTTAATAATTTGATTATGGTATTTAAACAAGATTAACGCTTAGATTAAAAATATGATGAATACTAGATTAATTGTATCAATAAGAATATTTTTAGCCCTTAACAGCAATGGATTTAGCAACAATTTGTAGGACCTAATGAAGTAACGCAGAGTTAATCACTTTAATTTATAACTTTATGAGAGTAGTACAATATCCCTTAAACAACGTTCTTTTCCACATTATTTTTGTCAAAAACCAACGACACAATGCAGCCTTATTTTGTACTAACGAAAGTTTGAAAATATTTTTTGTACTTTGTACACAATGTACTAATTAATGTGATAAACAGTTTTGACACGATTGCAAATTGTGATTTAGTAAAGTGATGTATGGTGTAGTAAGGTTACAAAATGGTAAAAAGAAACTGGCTTTACTAAATAAATCTTCTACTGCCCTACTATATACCTATTTATAACGTTATTTTCCCATATTTTTTATTTTTGGGTACTTATGTATAAAGTGCTGTTGTATTGTTTACTTATGAATCAAAAAAAAAATCAGGAATTTAAATGTTTCGGCCCAGTATTGTTAAGACCTCTGTATCCCACCAATGCTGTGAATCATTTGCTTCCTGAGAAATAAAAAAAAAACAAAATCTACTTTTCACTTGTTTCAATCGCCCATAGTTTTTACAATATTAAACTAGAGACTATGTATTATAGAAGTTCACTAATACCGAAACATTAATGAAATTATTTAATTGGAACTTCACTGAACGGCTAAACAAATTGGATAATGATTGTCCTCTATTTTGAAAGTTATGACCAAAGAGGTTTTTAATTAATTTTTGTAGGTTTGCTTAAGTGACCCACCGAGTATGACAATAGATTTCATAGTAATTATGGCCTGGCAGGTTTATAACGTTTTTAAACTTTATCATACTCGTCAAACTGAAATGATACTGCCAACGTAGTGATTATATTCTCTTTGGTTACTGCGGCCAAACGATATAATGATGTAAAATAATATAATTACATTATTTCAATACTATAAAATAATATACTAATAACTAACACTCATACTTTTGTAAATACAATATTTTCTTTTTAAATTTATCAACATAATATAATTAATAAGCATTTGAATGATTGATTGCCCTTGATACGGTTGCATGGGTAGAGAATATTAATGCATTCCTTCCGGAGGCAATGACGATGTACGTCTACAGTTTAACGTAGAAATATAACTAAATAGACATAGAAGTCTTTAATATAAGGCAGCAGGAACTGCATTTAGTGTAGATACACTTAATACACTTTACGGTGGTGGGGCCACGCAGCAGCCTCGGTTGTTGCACGAGATGTTCAAT